CCGTTTCTGGATCAGCAGAGAAACTCGTGGGAGATGATGGGATTGGGTAATGCACCGGTAGCTTCAAATACGTGCGTCACAGAGTATCAAAACCATTCTTCTTTCCTTAACCCACCTTCATCTACTTCTTTTGACAACTTCCTTAAACCTGTTGGTTCCTCATGATTAGTTCTTAATTTTATATCCAGCTTCTATTATCTTTTACAAAACACCGTCGTTTATTCCAACAAAAATGTGCGAAAAGTAAGTTAGTTGCCTAAATAAACACTTCTTTTTAGAGTGAATGAAGATGCTTCCTTGGAGAATTAGGTAACAAGATCATTTGTTAGATTATAGCTTCTTGTTTGGTGTGTCAACTGTCAACCATACTTGTAAGGCAAAGCCGACCACTACAAGATCTTTCATAATGGGATTTTGTAACTTATCCATAGTTATAAAAAAAACATTACTAAAGTATCCTTAAGGCATATTTATTTTCAAAAAAATATAATTAACAATGTGTTGTTATACGGAGTGTCGAAATTGAAATTGAACTTTAGTATCGAAATTGAACATTGATCATACATGAATAGAAACTGATTTAGATGTTGTTTATAAATTGAGACATCAAACCAAAAAATTAACAATGTGTTGTTATACGGAGTGTCGAAATTGAAATTGAACTTTAGTATCGAAATTAAACATTGATCATACATGATGAACATGAATTTAAATTTGTTACTGCTGAAATGTATATATCTTTTAAATTAAAATGTTCGGTTAATTTACTAAAATTTTGCTCAACAAAGCCAGAATAAAGTTTAATTTCTCTTTAACTCTGTTGAAACCAATAGCTCAAAACTAAGATTTCAAATGGTATCAAAAGGCATTCAACAATTTTCCTATAGGCTATATAATGTTTTGGATTTTTTTTATCTATAATTGTTTGGAGTTGAAGTCTAAAGAAAAATGAACTAGAACTGCACTATTTTTGCTAACTTGAATTTTGATCACATGATGAGGAATCACCGTCCTTTGAAGTTTATGTCTTGAAACTTTTACCTTAATGACATTGAGGAGACAGTGAGTGTGGTGTGATTCATTGCAATGAATTGCTCCTAAGGTGGACTACAAACCAAATTGAAGGGTATATGTGTTTGGAATCCATGTACACAAATCTCTGTATTGATAAAACCGAGCAGTAAAATTTCCTTCAAGGATATTCTCGGAATATGATTTGCTGAACGAGGTAAGTACCATTTATTGAGGATACATGATGTAGGAGAAAGAAGAAATAATGTCGAGATCTTTGCCAATGATTCTTGGAAGACCATTGGTAATCTTGTTGATTGACATATCATGCGTTTTCGTGATGGTCTTTCACTTGGAAACAAGATGATATGGGTTGAATGTGAGAAATGATCAACAACTCACTTCATTCTCTCGTTTCAATTCAAATTAGAGTCTTTCAGCAAGCTATGCGGTGGTGGAGAATCTTGTAAATGTTATAACTTCACTAAGTATCTATAAGTCAGAGAGGTTATCATATACGCACAGAGGCATAAGAGAGGCAAAGATGAGAATTTGGGTTTCTTTCCCCGAGGTTAATGGTCCGGTAGAATGGAAGCCGTTGTTTACTGTTGACACATCTACTACCCCTGTTATAAGGCATTTTAAATTCACCTCCATACCTTTTCATCTCATAGATGGAGAAGATTTCATCAATGTGACGCTCAAGGACATTGATCACCCCAGACGCAGATACAACGTGTACAAAATCGGCAAAGAGGGGATAGTGAACATTTTAGAATTTGGAGAAAATCTTAGAGATGATTATGGAGAAAATATATTTAGGCGTTCTACGCGTTCTCACCTGTACACACCCAATCAGGTATTTTGATTTGTAATTGCTTCTATAGCTATAGTGATTAGTGAACTTAAACTTGTCATGACTTGTGCCAAGTGCGCTTTAGGAGCTCATGAGATGCTTCCGCGACTTTTCTTTATCAGTTTCCAAAAGGTATGCATGCATTTATTTGCTCATCACGCGACATCATCTATTACATGTCTTAATAATACAGTTTAACGTGACCCCCTCCGTGATTGATTCGTTTTGGCTTCGTTTCTTCCATGTGTGATAATATAACTCTGGTTTTGGTGCAACATATATTGAAACATGTCTTTATTATGTTTGGGTTTTTGCATAGTTGCAGATAAGAGAAGATGGACAAGGGTCAAAAAGAGACTTAGTCCTTTTGTTCGAGAAAACATCAATCAATTTGATTTAATTACATATGCTTCGTGGCACCTTAGCGCACTTGCGTTTTGTTTTCGTGGCACCTTAATGCACATTGGTGTGTTTAGTTATCACTCTTTTTGTTTCTTGGATTTGCATTTAGAACGAAGGAAGTTTATGGGGCCTGAATTGTTTTGTTTTGTGGCGTGATTCAAAGTTGAGTTCATGTCACTTGTTATCTGGGCCAGTGGAAGATGACTTGAGATTTTGATTGTCGAACAGAGACAAAAGCAGTTTAGTAATCCGTAAATGATGTGATTTCTATTCACTTGTTCCCCATATGACAACCGAATTAAATTTACAAGTACCAAATATGAAATTTCAAACACTTTAAGGTCGAATAGTAGTAAGTTAATGACACCGCCCAGTATTAAGTTGATAGCCTTGAGTCGAATACGTCCCGTGAATTTATTTCCAGAAAAACCAATAGCTTTGAATGCAATAAAGATCCTTGGAAACGCACACCTTTATACATCATGTCCATCAAATCCCGATAATATGGACTACCTTTGTGCATAGTAACCTCATACCATTCCATTTTCTCTACCAACACCACATCCGACATTTCACGCCACTTGACAAAATAATCTCCTGACAACGTGCCGTTGAAGTTATTGTTCGATATGTCAATGACTCGCAGACTTGGAAACCCAAAACACGAAGAGACTGGACCCTAAAATTCATTTGATCCCAGAAATAAAACACGTAACGATACCAAAGATCTCAACCAATATGGAAACGTGTCTTTGATCTTGTTTCCTTTCAGATTCAAATATTCCATAGACTTGCAGTTGATCAAAGATTTTGGAAGCTTCCCCTTTAGCTGGTTATGGCAGCTAACGTCTAGTAACTGTAAGCTAGTGGCACTGACACAGCTTGAAGTCATGAATTTGAACTACTTCCACCATCAAGGCTAGTGAAAGAATTATGAGAAAGCCTCAAGATACATAATCTCCACGAGAAACTCGGGACTTGACCTTCCAACTTATTGTAGGAGAGATCAAGATACTTGAGGGAGACTAATTTGGATATAGAATCAGGGATTGTTCCAATGAAACTGTTATGACTAAGACGTAAATACTTGAGTTTGAGAAATCCAGATATATATTCTGGTATTGGTCCGTAGAAGTTGTTAGAAGCAAGGTCTAGCCAGTGTAACTCAGAGGATGAGGTTGTATTCCCAAACTCTAAGGGTCCCACGAATTGGTTTCCTCTTATAGAAACTTCTTGTAAAGAAGGAAGGGTAAACAGAGATGTAGGGACATTACCGAAAAAAGAGTTTCCACTTGCTTTAAATAGCTCCAAGTTATGGAGGCCACTCATGTTAGATGGAAGTGTGGATTTGAAGTGATTATTGGAAAGGTCTAATGAGGATAAGCTGGTTAAATTTGATAGTATAAAAGGTAAATCTCCACCGGAGAAATGATTATTTGAGAGAAATAACTGGGAAAGCTTTTTGAAATTGGTGAATGAACTAGGAAGTTTACCTATCAAATGGTTGCCACTAAGATCAAGATTTGTGAGAGAGAACAAGTTTCCTAGTGAAGATGGAATTTCACCTACCAAGCTATTATTATGTAGAGAAAAATTTATGAGATGAAAAAGGTTACCTATGGAAGATGGAATTTCACCTGCCAAGTCATTGACTACTAGAAATTTCAAGATGTTTGAGATGAGAAAGGTTTCCTAGTGAAGAAGGAATCTCTCCTCTGAGATTGCAGCTAGAAAAGGTTAGGTGTTGAAGATGTTGGAGGTTTAGAAGACTAGTGTTTGCTTTCAAAGAGCGATTGAGAAAGGTGTTCTCAAGGACGAGGGATATCACTTCACCGGAATTAGCATTGCATGTGACACCTTTCCAAGAACAGTGATGATCACTGCTGGTGTTCCACGAGCTTAAAGTGGTATCAAAAGGAGATTCATCAGATGGGTCTGGTGCACTGATCGAGAACTCATTTTTGAACTCCAAAAGAGCATTCCTTTGAAGTGCAGGAGAAGCAAGAGCGTTGAATAAAAGGGAAAGAAAGAAGATGAAATAAGCTTGGCTCGGAATCATCATCTTTTTCTTTCTTTACTTTTCTTATGTTTGTGTGGTAAGTAATGAGTTTGTGTAATACTTAAGGGGCTCCTTTTAAATAGCTTTGGCTTCTCAAGTCTTGCGTCAACTTTTGTCCGATTTTCAGTTGATTTTTCCTCCACTTGGCTCAAAAGTCAAAGAAGAAAAAAAGGGAAACATCATCTTGATTTTTTCTTCTTAGGTTTGTGTGGTAAGTAACGAGTCGTGTAATGCTTATGGGGCTCTCCTTTAAAGAGCTTTTGGTTTCGCAAGTCTTCGCACACCCCACTGGATGTTGTTTTTTGCCAAAATCCATGTTAAATTTCCCAAGTATTTTTCTTCATTGTTGACAAATGTTTCTTCTGTTCACATACTAACAACATCAAGCCCTCAAGTCGTTGAAGTGATACAAAAATATGTTGTCCTTTCCATTACAGAACTATACCGGAGCATCTTCATGATCTGCAGCCAACAGCGTTATTTTATACACTAGCTGCATGGTTTAGTTCTTCAGTATCTTTATATATATCTGCAACTCACACATTTACACAATTCTATCAAACTGTTTTCTGTAATGAGGATATTTCGAACATATATAAATCCGTAATTTGCTAGGCCACTCAAATTCATCACAAAAGATAATAATATCTGCCAACGAGAACGTGGCCTCCTCTGCTTACATAACAATAATAAGAACTTCTTTTGTGTAAAGTATGAGTTGACAACTCAAAGATGGTTTATCTTAACATATAACGAAAGCGTTGACTGTAAAAAAAAGGAAAAACAAAACAGACAGTACGGTAGGTACGGCATAGTCTTGTGTTAACAAATCAGACAGAAAGAATGTTGTCGTGTGATAACTCAGTATGATCAATCTGGTTCTTAGGATCAAGACCCATCTCTCTCAACCTAAGAAGACTCCCAGTAGCCAAAATCGCCTTAGGGTTAATATCATGCAACGCTCTAAGATACAAACTCTGACAAGCTTTACTCGCCGCCTCCGTAACTTCCCTATCTTCCACCTTCATCCCCATCATACAATGCCCCAAGATCCTCATCATCGGCTGCACAAGCTCCCACGGCAAAGGAATCCTTCCACCACCACTCTCCTTCTCAGCTCTCCCCACCACATCCTCCTCTCCCTCACGTGCCTCTCCGCTTCCCCCCGCCCACTTCTCACACGCCTCGCAGAAATCCAGCTTCGACTCACGTGGCATCCTCGAGATCTTCCCGTAGTAAAGCTCCAACGCGACTCCCACGATCCTCGCCCTACGCGTGGATCTCACGGTACCGTGCGGATCAAGCGTCGAGGACACGACGGCGATGTTGAGACACGTGGAGTTGTTTTTCGTTGGTGCCTTCGACTCGTGGTAGATGCTCGGGTGGGAGAGGTCGGGGATGTTGACGGTCACGGCTTGACCCGCGCGTGAGGTTGTCTCGTGCGCGTAGAGAGCGAGTAAGACGGCTTCGAATCCGGCTTGCGGTTGGCGGAGAGGGACGCGGGAGAGGTAGAGGCCGGCGATGAGGGGGACGAAACGGAGGACGAGGAGGTGGAGGGAAGGCTCCGTGGATTGGAAGGTGTCGTAGAGCCAGCGGCAGAGGTTGTTGTCGCCTGCGCCGGAGTCGGGACGTTGGAGGAGAGACGAGATGGCGGCGGAGGCGGTGGAGGAGTCGAGGAGGAGGGAGATTGTGGAGGGGATGTTTGTGGTTGTTACGATGGTGGATAGGGATTTTATGGCGGTTTGACATTTCGCGTTGGTGTCGGATTCGTTAGGGACGGTGGTTTGTGAGGCGCCGGAGGTCGGAGGAGGAGGTGGAGAGTCGGACATATTTGGTCGTGGAGAGGTTTGATTGTTTGTGAGAGAGAGAGGGGGGGACGAGGCCAAAATATGGAATGATTGAGAATGTAACGCAGCGAAAATAGGATCAAATGTTTTGCATCTGTAACGTAATACAGTTGACCAATTTGTTACTATCTGTATCGTTCGATTTTTTATTGTACCTCCGTACCGGTACGGTTATTTCACCGGTTATGGTACGATAACCGTCGTTTAGGCTTTGAGCTAGCAGACTTGGGTCTTACGATTGAGTGGAAACTGAGAAGGTTAAAAGGTTATTGCTTTCTTTTACAACTCGTATGTTTTGGAAACCGTGATCACCCACGTGACATTTGATCTAAGCTTTAACCAGGTAACCATTATTTAGTCTCTTCCTTCATTGAACCGAGACCATAACCTGGTAATATAGGAAATACAATTCTTCAACAGATACACTAAAAAACCAAGATTCATAATGGATTCGAGCAGAAGACATCCACTACAAAAGAAAAACCGATGAGGAATGTTACAGTTGCATATAGAAAAACAGGAGCTTTTTATGGAGCTATTACTTATAGTCATTACAACATGTGCATAGAGAACACAAGGATACATATGACACTGCTACACAAGTGAAAGGTTGATTCATAACTTCACTATCATAGAGTTAGGATTCATATTACAAACTAGTAGCCCGTCCAAAAAACCTTGTAAAACATTGGAAAAAGAAAAGAAAAGCAAACTATGTACCCCTCTCTATGGTTATTAACCTGAGAAAATGCACATCGAGGCTCTAGGTGGTTCGTTGTCTAACATGTCTGCTGCTTGTATCTCCGCCGCCGTCTGATAGTTGAGCCCATACGCTCTGAGACTTGGCCCCTCCCGTGCTGTTGCTGCCATCCTCGTAGCCAGCCACCGCCTTCAGAAGCTCGGACTGGAGGGACAGACATTCATCCTTCAACTGCTGGTAAGCGTCTGTCTCTAGAACAGCTGCAATATTGAAGCCAATTTCAAACACAACAAAAGATCGATTATACACTTCGATATAAAACAAATCACAAACCACAATGTGTAAACTGAAATGTACAATGTGTTTACAATCCCATTGGTTTATTAGTTTGAATCCCAATATGTAAAGTCGAATCAAAACTGAAACTGTACTACTACTACCGAAGTAAACCAAACCGAATAGTACTGATCTAAAACTGAATCAAATTCAAACTAAATTTCCATGTAACCAAACTGAACTAAACCGAATTGCAAAGATTCTATTTGGTCTCCATTTCCACAAGATCAAACACAAAGTTACACACCGTAAACAATTTTGTCCACCGGTAAGAAGAAGAAGAAGAAGCATACCTGCTAGATTCTCGGCAGTAAATTTTAGGGAAACTTCCTTTAGTTCTGTAGCTTTATATCTGTCAGCCAATGCTAAGATCTTGGCTACGGACTTTACTGATACACCTTTGCAGATATGAGATTCACACAACAGCCTGAGCCTATTCAAGTTATACTTGTCCGCAGCTGCTAAAAGCTTTACAATCAATGTCTCGTATATTTCAGGTAGCTTTATGAGGTCAAACGTATGACTAGTCACAGGCTCCACATCTTCCGGAAGAGAATCTTTATACATGAATTGTAGCAAAGCCTGCAAAGAACATAGCTTAAATACAGGTATGATTTGCACAAACGGAAACAAGTAAAGAAAAACCACAATGATGTACCTTAAAAACCTTCGGTTCAAGATCGTTGATTGTAACCTCTCTATTGTTTTCTTCAGGCTCATTGAAAAACTTAGACTTGAAAAATGGAGATCGAGCAGCCAGTACTAGTTTATGAGCTTGAAACTTCTCGCCAGCAATGTCAAAAGTGACATCAGAACCTTCCATGCTATCCAGTAAAACTCCAAAATGTGATCCAAGTTCTGAATCAGGGACGCGAATAGAGTGTAACCGTGGGCACTGTACTTCAGAAACCACAACTCCAACCGTACAGTTGATTATCAGGCAATCGTCTTTGAGAAAATCAGATGTCTCAAGCTGCGTACGTCTATAGAAACGCTTGTATCCCCTAATCAAACCACAAAAAAATACAAAAGAGAATCAGAGAAGCTTGAGTTAGCAGATTGTACGCGGAAGATAAATGTAAAAAGAAGATCAGATCAAATATATCTATTTTAAAAAGGATCAAAATAAATTGGAAGAACAGAAGAAAAAACGCGTCCAATGAAATTAAGAACACATTTCCAGTCAAAACTAGGCTAAGACTATGTCTGGATACACTCCGACAATTTAGCCAGCTTACACGCTTTCAAAATAAATGATTTTCCCAATCAATTTCCTTTCCATCATGAACATACAACGACCCACCCACATCTTTGTTTTTGCCACAGTATCGTTCTCACAAACAAGATTTGGAACATGGGCAAGAACCCACAACACTCATGAGTTGAAGAAAATGTTACTACGCTGCCTATGACTAGCTTAATTCTTCCGTTTTCATACTTTAAAGTTTACACCATTGACAATGGAACATGTTACAGCACCGAAAGAGTTCAAATTTTGATTCCTACTTAGCATTTCACAAGTTCTAAGTACACCCAGCAGCTATGGGACTCCAAGCAAGCCCAGAATTCCACAATTGGGCAACTCAAACTCATCACATGATGAAGTATATTCTAATTCATGTGATCACTTTTACATTCTTCTCTTCTTCATTTTCCTATCCAAATTTAGTAAGCTACCAATTATTCAATCACAAAGGATGTGTAGCTAGATAAGGTAAGCCAGCTAAACTATAGATTGTAATCACGATAATCTAGAACTGTGAGCAGTGAGTGGTAATCATACCACATGCTTCCTTTGTATTTAAGAGTTCAAACTTTGTTTCCTATACAGCAGTTCACATGTTTTAAGTACACCCAGATCCTATTTGAGTCCAAGCATGCGCTCAATAGGCAACTGAAAGTCTGAAACTCATCACATGATATAGTATATTCGAATTCAATGTGATCAATTTCACATATTTCTCTTCTTCGTTTGGCTACCATAGAATTCAACAAGGGCGACGCTAGATAAGGTAATCAAACTAAAATAGAAACATTAACCATAAAAACTAGAATTACTATAAACTTATAATCATACCACATGCTTCCTTTGTATTTGAGAGTATAAGGCCCACTATCAAGCGACCTCTCGAAATGGCTATGAACCTTATGATTCCCTTTCCCACTCTGGTCAACAAGAGCCAGCTCAAAAAGCGCCCTAACTTCCGTACCTTCACTAGCCAACGCCACAAACACAGATACATACGCCGAGTTATCCTCTGGATTCTTACCGTCCGGGTAAAAGAAGATCCCCCACTGGTAACCTCCGACGGTAAAATTATCGCTCGCGATGTGCTTCCCAACGCCCATCCCTTTCGCTAATCTGTACCCTTGTATCACGAATCGATGCGAGCCGTTCACGGTCTGCGTCACCGATTTGGAGCTCGTCGGAGATGAGACCCGATCCGGATTCGATCTGGGGATCAGGGATCCGGACATTGGTTTTTGATGGTGAGATAGCGAAGAAGGTGAAGCTATGATGAAGACGAGGGAAGGAGAGACGGTGATTTCTAGGGTTTTCGATTTTCAATTTTTGGATTGTTTTCGGAGAGACCGTTTTGAAGAGAGAATCGCGAGAGGGAAGAGTGAAAACAGAACGTTTCCGAGATTGTATTACTTGCCTATTTTACTTTACCCCCACCATAGGAGAGAGAGATACTACGAGGGGTGTTTGGTTGTTGGTTTAAAGTAAAACCAATATTTTAAAAACCAAACCGGTTATCAGAACATTTTCGGGTCATGGATTAGTGTATGGCTCAACCGAATTGAATCGAGTCAATTAAATTACTTCTTTTACTCACTCAACTAAATTTATGTGATGTCAAAAAAAAAACTAAATTTATATGTTTTGTTATTTATCTTTAAAAAACATGAATATTTAAAAAATTGAATATATGAGAAAATACTATTTACTCAACAAATTGCAATAGGTGAGTATTATTTATTATAATTTCCAATATAAAGATTGATAAATAAAATTTAAACACAGAAAATGAATAACAAAAAAAAATTATATTAATTTTTAAAATTAAAGTATATATAATAAAAAGAAAATTTGAATTTTGACGGTAGATTAAAACTGGGTTTTATTTGGTTTATTTAACGGTTTGTAATTTTTTATTATTATTTAACACAGTTCTTATCGGTTTAACTATTTGGAATTTATTATATAACCAACCCGAATATGCTCCCGTTTACGGTTTAGGTCCTACCGCCGGTCTAGTCCAGGTTTAAAAACCACCGGTTCAAACCTATTCTTCCAAAATGAAAGTCAGATCTAATCTGATTGCCAAACAAACCGGACAACCTTGCTCTCAGCCTCTCTGACCTTTCATATTTGATATTCAAGTGACCTGTCATCTCTCTCTATCGAAAAACGAAGATATGGATAGTCATGAAGGTTGTTGCGGCAGCGACGAAAAGTCCGAGATGATACCGACGGAGGAAGCTCTTAGGATAGTACTCAGCGTCTCCGAGCGATTGCCTCCGGTAGCCGTATCACTACATGAAGCGCTAGGGAAAGTGTTGGCGGAAGATATTCGCGCTCCTGATCCTCTGCCTCCGTATCCAGCTTCCGTCAAGGTGAAATCGATGCGGCGATTAACGAATAGTATAATATCAGACTTTTTTAGAATCAAGAATCATTCTGATAAGAGTTTTATAATTATTTAGATGAGAAATGATAATTAACTGGTGATTAGTACTAGAGAGAGTGTTTGAATGACTTGGCATGATTGTTGTTTAGGATGGATATGCGGTTGTTGCTTCAGATGGTCCTGGAGAGTATCCGGTGATTACAGAATCAAGAGCTGGGAATGATGGCTTGGGTGTGACTGTTACTCCTGGAGCTGTGGCTTATGTTACAACTGGTGGTTAGTATAATTAATTGCATTTTGATGAAAAGTCTCTTTAATTATTGATTTGTATTATTTGCCTCATATGATAACGTTGTACCTGCCTTTTTGTGTTTCTAACATTAGTAGAGCAACTGTATTCTTCATTTTCACTCCTAACTAGAATTTTTCATTTGGTAGTATCTGCGTTGGATGGATTAAAAAGTAGTTTTTTCTTTGATTTAACTTCTTTTTTTCTTTGATACGTGTCTCTTTAGGACCTATACCTGATGGTGCCGATGCAGTTGTCCAAGTTGAGGACACTGAAATAATTGGAGACGTCTCAACTGAGCCAAGAAGAGTCAAAATACTGATTCAAACCAAGAAAGGCACTGACATCCGTAGGGTGGTATGTTTCCTTCTTTTCCGCTTATATAATCAATCTTGTAGTTGATATTCTTGGTTTCCTTTATCTATGACTGTTTGCTAAATAGTTGTAGTATCATTATGTTCTTTTTAATGTACTGCCATTTATTGATCTAAGTTTAATTTACCGTCAAATTTTTTTGATGAAATGGCAGTTTTTAGCTGATTGGAATCATTTTATTTTTGATTATTTTTTGTCTTGTTTGAGGATTCCACTTGATTCATTCAACTTATATGCTAGGGTTGTGACATTGAGAAAGATGCAACTGTACTAAAAACTGGAGAAAGGATTGGTGCCTCAGAAATTGGCTTGCTAGCAACTGCCGGAGTAACCTTGGTGAAGGTATTGCTGCAGCATATCAGTTTTTATATGAACAAATTTACTAGAAATTCTGTTCAAAACAGAAGAGTTAAACTTCCATGCAGGTATATCCTATGCCGACAGTTGCTGTTCTCTCTACTGGGGATGAACTTGTCGAGCCAACAGCTGGGACTTTAGGTCGTGGTCAGGTATTATGCAAAATGCTGATTATTGATGCATGCAATTTTCATCAGAAATATTGGACCTAATATTACCTTAGTGGCTAAACAATGGGCTCTCTGTAGATAAGGGACTCAAATCGAGCAATGTTAGTGGCAGCAGTGATGCAGCAGCAATGCAAAGTTGTTGATCTCGGAATCGTCAGAGATGATAGAAAGGAGCTTGAGAGAGTTTTGGATGAAGTCATATCCTCTGGAGTCGATATTATTCTATCGTCTGGTGGTGTTTCAATGGGAGACAGGGATTTTGTCAAGCCATTGCTCAAAGAGAAAGGGAAAGTACATTTCAGCAAGGTACCAAGTTGAGAATGTTTAGTCTGAGATACAGATCGAACTGAAAAGATTTTAAATGTAAATTTTACTTCAGGTATTAATGAAACCTGGGAAACCTTTGACGTTTGCTGAGATCAGTGCAAAACCAACTGGAAGTATGATGGGGAAAACAGTCCTAGCATTTGGGTTACCAGGAAATCCTGTAAGCTGTTTAGTTTGTTTCAATCTCTTTGTTGTGCCTGCAATCCGCCAGCTTGCAGGATGGACAAGCCCCCATCCAGTGAGGTTACTGAAGTTAACTTTTGTACTTAATGAATTCTTTTAAATTGGTCATCAGTGAAAGTGTAATTTACCGTCTAATCTTTGTGCAGAGTGCAAGCTCGACTTCAGCAGCCTATAAAGTCAGATTCCCTCCGTCCGGAGTTTCATCGAGCCATCATCAAATGGAAAGAGAACGATGGATCAGGAACTTCCGGGTGAGTTCTTTCATAACCAGGTCTGCTTTTGAGTCAAAATCCTAGGTGGACTGTCCTAGATTTTCTTGAAAGTTGCATTAAGTATTTCTATCTTAAATAGATAACTAATTAATAACCTGGATGTCAGATTTATTGCTGAGAGCACAGGACATCAGATGAGCAGTCGGCTTTTAAGTATGAGGTCGGCTAATGCTCTGTTGGAGTTGCCTGCTACGGGGAATGTGCTTTCTGCTGGAACTTCGGTATCAGCTGTAGTCGTTTCCGATATCAGTGGCTTCTCTGTAGATAAGAGAAACACATCATCAAAACCAGTATCTATTCCGAAAGAAGTGAAGAAGGATCATGTACATGGGCCTGGTTATAATGTGGCTATACTTACTGTTAGTGATACTGTCTCAGTTGGGGCTGGACCTGATCGAAGGTATGCGTACTGTAAAACTTTCTTGATTGCACTGTCACAAATCTGGATGAGTTGATTTGCATGTTGGAAGTGATAGGTCTTTTGTTTTGCATCTCTAAAAGAATTATCACTATTAGAAGATGAAACAAAAATTGCAATGCTGAGGTTGTCTATATTAATTGACCTTGTTTTTTTTTCTCTTTCAATCTGGTATAATCATGCAAATATTAGTAATGTAGAGTCGTTAATCTCCACTATTAGAGTTAAATAAAGTGAGTAGTATCCAAGACTTTCTGAATTTCGAGAAAAGAAAGTGCATCTTGATACATCTCTCCAGCTCGTTATTCTGGTGAGGTCACTAATTCGATGCCATAATAACACGCTAAGTAATATTGCTCCTTGTCATAGTGAGGCAAGCAAGCACAACAATGCTTTGCTACATCTTTTAAGCCCTTTCCTGATAGTTCGGTTTTCTCCCTGGTTTTTGTCCTCAGAGAGAGTGTGATGAGAAGTATACTTTATTCGTTTTTATTCACTTCAAACTTGCTCCCATCACTTATTCATGAATTTCATTATCATTTACTGATTTATTGTGATAATGCAGCGGGCCCAGGGCTGTATCAGTGATTAATTCCTCGTCTGAAAAACTGGGAGGAGCGAAGGTAGTTGCAACAGCTGTTGTCCCCGATGAAGTTGAAAGAATCAAAGACATTCTTCAGAAATGGAGCGATGTTGACGAAATTGATCTCATTCTTACACTTGGTATATAAACATCCAGTTAGATTTTGTGTAGCGTTTGAATCATATTTTTAATAGAATCACTTCGTGCAACTAGGTGGTACTGGCTTCACTCCAAGAGACGTAACACCTGAAGCAACGAAACAAGTGATTCAGAGAGAAACACCTGGTCTTCTCTTCGTTATGATGCAAGAGAGCTTAAAGGTTAATACTTTTTGTTTCTCTCCATCGTGGAAAAGAATGGCGGTGAGTAGTTATCTGACCTCATTTTACTTTTTTTATCTATGAGCAGATCACGCCATTTGCGATGCTATCACGCTCTGCAGCAGGAATTAGAGGCTCAACATTGGTACAAATCTCTTAGCTAACATTCGTTATATGATCTCTTAAGTTGTCATTACTCACGATTCTAGGTTATATCTGGTTTCTTAGATAATCAACATGCCCGGGAACCCAAACGCAGTGGCCGAGTGTATGGAGGCACTGTTACCAGCTTTGAAGCACGCTCTAAAGCAGATCAAAGGAGACAAGAGAGAGAAACATCCAAATCACATACCTCATGCAGAAGCCAGCCCCGCACCTGCTGGTGATACATGGGACAAAAGCTATAAGACGGCATATGAAGGAGCAGAAGAGACAAAAGAAGCTGGCTGTTCTTGTACTCACTAAAAAGCTTCTCCACTCAGTGAATCAAACCCCAAGCGAATGTAAAACCTTTTGAGAAGTTTTGTGTTTTTACTGAGTTTCATGAAACCCAAAACTATAAGGTGCTAAAGACATTGTTGTAAGCTTTGTAATAAAGTGTCCTTTGTGTAAAAATGCCTGCACCCTAATGAGAAAAATAAAATTTGTTGGATAGAAAATGTTGAATTAAATCTCTGATGATATTTGCCAAGTATAAAAAAAAGTTGAATTAAAATATTATTAATAAATGATATACAAATAGTGAGTGGTGTGTGTGTGAGAGAGAGTCTCCTCCTTCCTCGGACACTGAACAGAAATAATAGGAGAGCAGTTTCAAATAAGAATGGGTCAGCTCGCTCTTCAGAGAGTCTCGCCGTTAGCTTCGTTCCCCAGACGCCCTCCTTGTCTTCTGCCACCGTCTTGGGCTCCTTCTTTACTCTCTTGTGCAACCGCCTCTCGCCGTCACGGATTCTACCTCGCCAGGTTTCCTTTCCGTTTTCTTCTCTTGTTGGGTGTTTGCAGCTCTATTTATTTTCCTTATGGATTCACAGTTGGATTAAAAATAGTTATGAATTCACAAACTCAATGAAAAGAGAGATAGTTTAAAGTTGATGAATGTATTCTCTTATGTTTTTTAATTATTAGCTTCTGTTCTTTGGTCTTTTTGCTTATTGTTGAGTAATATTAAAAGAGAGTTTGGGTTTTGCTCTATTTACTGTGAGTATCAGTTTGTTACCATAGGTAAATTCTTGTCATCCATTTGTATCAGCATCCATAACATTCTTGATGTTGCGCTGTATTATTTATTTGTATGCATTCATGAATTTTTCCGTAACCAAATTGTCATTTTTCTGTCACGAAATAGAGCAATGTCATCCCATATTGTCGGGTATCCCCGTATCGGACCCAAAAGAGAGCTCAAGTTTGCACTGGAGTCCTTCTGGGATGGGAAAACCGGTGTTGAAGATTTGCAAACTGTTGCTGCTAACCTGAGAAACTCCATATGGAAGCATATGGCTGACGCAGGGATCAAATATATTCCCAGCAACACTTTTTCATACTATGATCAGATGTTGGATACAACAGCAATGCTTGGAGCTGTTCCGTCTAGATATGGTTGGGAAAGTGGTGAGATTGGGTTTGATGTTTACTTCTCCATGGCACGGGGAAACGATTCTGTTCCTGCTATGGAAATGACCAAGTGGTTTGATACAAACTAGTAAGTAAATGAAATCCTCTTTCTTCCCTGTTGTTAGAGAATGTTTTTTTTTTCTTAGATGTAATGCTGATAAAGCTCTTAACAGCCATTACATTGTTCCTGAGTTGGGTCCTGATGTTGAATTCTCCTATGCATCTCACAAGGCTGTGGATGAATTTAAAGAGGCTAAAGCAGTAAGTTGACTTGAACCTTTCTCACTTCATAGCTTTTTAGTTAAGCTGTACTGTAGTTTGATAAGGGCATGGTATTGCCTTCTCTCAATGTTCATGAAATTGCTAGGAGGTAACTAGACGCTTTGAGATTGTTGATTAGATGAGCTAGACGGATTTTTAGAACACTGCTTTTCCTTCTATATTTCTCTTTAGCTTTCCTACTTTTTCTTCCAAGGCTCTTATTCACAGCTGTTCTTTTGGCTGTTTATGGCACAGCTTGGCATAGACACAGTTCCTGTGCTCATTGGTCCGTTGACCTACTTGTTACTGTCAAAACCAGCAAAGGGTGTTGATAAATCTTTCTGCATGCTCTCTCTGATTGACAAGATTCTTCCCATCTACAAGTAAGACTATAATTAAGCTTTTTAGAAATGTGCTACACAAAAACAAATACATACACAGTGCTCGAGACCTTAACTGGTTTCTGTGGCATTTCCTTTGTCAGAGAAGTTTTTGATGATCTAAAATCTGCTGGAGCACGATGGATTCAGTTCGATGAGCCTATACTTGTGATGGATCTTGACACCAACCAGTTGCAGGCGTTTTCGGATGCCTATTCTCACATGGAGTCATCTTTGGCGGGGTTGAATGTTCTTATCACCACATACTTTGCAGATGTTCCTGCTGAAGCGTACAAGGCATTAACGTCGTTGAAGTGTGTAACTGGGTTTGGATTTGACTTTGTTCGTGGACTGGAGACTCTTGATTTAATCAAAGGGAATTTTCCTAAAGGTAAGCTACTATTCGCTGGAGTTGTTGATGGAAGGAACATTTGGGCGAATGATCTTTCTGCTTCACTCAAGACACTACAGTCTCTTGAAGACATTGTTGGGAAAGGTATCAGTATATAACACTTTATTTGATTCCTACTTAACTTCAGTATCAATATAAATATTTCTCCTCTCTTTGCAGAAAAAGTTGTAGTCTCCACTTCGTGCTCTCTACTCCATACGGCTGTGGACTTGGTGAATGAAGTTAAACTTGATAAAGAACTAAAGTCATGGCTTGCATTTGCTGCACAAAAGGTTGTTGAAGTGAATGCACTTGCTAAATCATTGTCTGGAGTTAAGGATGAGGTAATAAGATACACATTTGATTATTACATATGTTTGTATGATTGCAACTACATGCATACTGGACTTTTATTTGATCCCACGGATCTCTGCTGGAACCTTTTCTTCTAATACAGAAGTAGTTAACCTTCAGCTTTGTATTGTCTTTGGTCTCTTTGTAGGCATTGTTTTCTTCTAATTCGATGGGACAAGCTTCTAGAAGATCATCACCAAGGGTGACAAATGCCGCTGTACAACAGGATGTAAGGGAGTTTCCTAACAAGTTGCTCTTCCAAGTTTTTACCATGAGCTTGTTGTATCTTTAATTACTTTCTTGCTCAGGTTGCTGCAGTAAAGAAATCTGATCACCGCCGTTCTACAGAAGTAAGTGCTAGGCTACAAGCCCAGCAGAAGAAGCTAAACCTTCCTGCTCTTCCAACAACTACAATTGGATCTTTTCCCCAGACCGCAGATCTCAGACGAATACGCAGAGAATTCAAGGCCAAAAAGTAAGTCTATCTAATCCAATGATGTAGCTGAAAACTGTAACATGTCACTAATCGTAATGCTCATGCATCTTCTGCATTTGCAGGATATCAGATATTGACTATGTCCAGGCTATCAAAGTCGAATTTGAAAAGGTTGTCAAGCTTCAAGAAGAGCTTGGGATTGATGTATTGGTGCATGGGGAGGCAGAGGTGGAAACATACTGAAACCTTGGCTTACTATTCGAACTATTACATTCTTTACTCTCCTGATATGCTTTAATTGTGCAGAGAAACGATATGGTGGAGTATTTTGGTGAGCAGCTGTCTGGCTTTGCGTTCACATCAAATGGGTGGGTCCAATCATATGGGTCCCGCTGTGTCAAACCACCTATCATCTACGGTGATGTCACCCGACCAAAGGCAATGACTGTCTTCTGGTCATCAATGGCACAGAAGATGACCCAACGTCCTATGAAGGGGATGCTTACTGGCCCCGTTACAATTCTCAATTGGTCCTTCGTTAGAAATGACCAGCCAAGGTGTGACAACTAAGTCTATCAAGTTCTCTTTCATTGTTTATTGTGTTGGTTCTCACTATTAATGATGTTAATAGGCATGAGACGTGTTTCCAAATTGCGCTTGCTATCAAAGATGAGGTGGAGGACCTTGAGAACGCTGGTATCTCTGTTATTCAGATTGATGAAGCTGCACTAAGAGAGGGCTTGCCTCTTAGGAGGTCCGAGCAAGAGTTTTACCTTGACTGGGCCGTCCATGCGTTCAGAATCACAAACTGCGATGTGCAAGACACTACTCAGGTCATCTTCATCTCACCTTATTGCTCACTTCCACTTAAATAAGATGGAATCTGATATCAAGATGAAGGATGTGAACTAATTAGGTTTTTGGTTCAGTTTGGTAATTGGTTAGTTCGGTTTCTAAAAAAAAATTTACCAAACAATACCAATCTTAACCAAAATTCCGAACCGAACTATGGAAGAAATAGCTGAAGTATGGAAGAGATCTAATTTGTCATGCTCTCTTGTACTTCTTCATGCAGATTCACACTCACATGTGCTACTCAAATTTCAACGACATTATCCACTCAATCATAAACATGGATGCTGATGTGATCACCATTGAGAACTCACGTTCAGATGAGAAGCTCTTATCAGTCTTCCATGAAGGAGTGAAATACAGTGCAGGAATCGGTCCAGGGGTTTATGACATTCACTCTCCTCGTATCCCATCCACTGAAGAAATAGCTGAGCGTATCAACAAAATGCTTGCAGTTCTTGACAGCAAAGTCCTTTGGGTGAACCCTGACTGTGGCCTAAAGACGCGGAAGTACTCTGAAGTTAAATCCGCACTTAGCAACATGGTTGCTGCTGCCAAGCTTATCCGCTCTGAGCTAATCAAGTCATGAAAGCCTTTCCTCACAAGTAAGTTTTCTTATACAAAACCACTTTCTTTTCTCTATAAATCCTTTATTTTACTTGTAGGGTTTATACTTTGTAGTTTTGATTAAGTTTCTGCCCCGTTCAAAAAAAAAAAAAAAAAAAAAAAAAATTAAGTTTCTGCCACTGAACTCATTATACTAAGGCTAGTTAGATATCTTTAAAATGGAGGTTTTTCATTTTCTTATCACAAATTTGTGTACATACATATAAATAGGGTAGTTATCAAATATTTATTTGTTTTGTGCATAAGCAATCTTACACATCATGAGACTCAAATGTAACTCATTCCTCGGAGTTCCCTAGGAGGGATGAACGTACTGCATTTCTAGCATACAGTAGGATTAGCAGAACCAATACAATCGAAGCACTCAAATTGCAAAGTAATTCCCTTTTGCTCTTAGCTTCCTTTACCACATTTCCAGTTGCCTCTTTGTACTTCTCAAACCATTTGGCTCCAACTTTGTTCTTCTCCTCATCCTTAGAACTCAAAGGTCCTTTAGGCTCACCAGTTAATTCCTTTTTGTCACTCTGTACTTCCCCTGCTTTTTGCTGTGCATCATGTTTTTCGGTTTTACCACCGTTGGGCTTCTCGACCGTTGCTGCTTTAGAACCCTGAACTTGTTTTGCCTCATGTTGATCATGGGGTTTTGTGGGTGGTTTGACCGGTGATAGTGGCTTAGTTTGAGGGGTTTCTGTCTTGACTTTGGGATGTCTGATGTAGAGTTTGTAATCTTTGAACATAGCTGAAACCGAGTCAATATCAACGGTCAAAGGAACGGGAATCTCCTGGTGGAAACGAATCCATTTGTTTCCACCTGTTGGACGTTCTCCCGTTAGTCTTAGCTTCCTTGTTGAGGTCACAGCCACCTTAACTTGTTCTTTCTTGAATCCTAAGTAACCACAAAAGACAATGCTTAAATGAGCTTTGCTTGTTTGATTCTACCAAACTATTTATCTCTATATATTCTCTGTGTTTAATGCAGAGAAGTGAATAGAAGAGGAAGAAGAAAACAAACCTGGAAGATCAGCGACAAGGATCTCGACGTCTGGTTCAGAGATCCATCTAGTTGCAGGCTCAAATTCTTGGTATACTCGTTCTGCTCCAAAGTTAGCCATTCTCTTTCTCTTTGTAGTTGCTCTTCTTTTGCTTTGGTTTATAAGTAATGTTTATTTGTGTTGTGAGAAAACAGAGAATGATATCAAATGATTTTATAGGCAAAGAAGATTTAGTAGACAGCAAAGAGTTTTGTTTGATTTGGTTTTAGTTTGAAGAAACGAAGGCCTAATTCTTTGGGTTTTCCACTTGCTCTTCTTCTCTTCTTTGAGTTTTCTTTGTCTTGAAGATTTTTATTATTCTTTGGATTAAGTTTAATATTAAGTATCTCTTTTTCATTTGTCTGTCGAATAAACAAGAGTTTTCATATATGGGATAATTATTAATTGATACTAGATTTTGACCCGCGCAACCGCGCGGGTGTTTGTTTTCGTTTATAGTTATTTATATAAACATTTTGTTTTCACTTGTAAATTGATATATATTATAGTAATCACATATTTACGATATGTATAGTAAATGTTTTTCAAACATAAAAAGATGATATAATAAGTGTTTTAATCAAATAGGTTGTTTCAAATTTTCTATATTATATATGTTTTCAAACATGTGTTTGTTTCTTCTTCTATATTTTATTGTTTGTTAGATTAGTATTTCATTTTAGATAAATTAATATAAATAGAGTTTGATTAACTATTAGTATACTTTAATTTGCAAAGATAATATAAACTTCGAAGAAATTTTTGCTAAAAACTAAACTTATAGCTTCATAAATTAATATTAGAAAGAATTTTATTAAAAAGAATTATTTAAACAATTTCTTTTTTTTAAAACAATATAATTTTAAAAAATTACATTGAAATAAATTTATCTAATATATATAGCATGTAAATTTTGTTAAGGTATATAAATATTCCATATTACTAATCTGTGATTTTGTTAATATATTTTGGATGCATTTAGCTATTATTGACATATTTCCTTATAAATAATAGAAGATTCCTAAACTTATATATATTGACATATTTTGCATGACTAAGTTGGAATGTGTGGGATAATTTACCAAAACCAAATTGTTACGAATATCTTTGTTGCTATAGATATGATTTTTCACAAGATATAATAATAATAATAAGATTATTAGAAAGTTAATGTAACGTAACTTTTTAGTAATAATCCATTTTTAAAAAAATCACACATGAAGTCAAGTCACGACTTCTGTTTTAATATATAAGATTTTAAAAAAATCACACATGAAGTCAAATCATGACTTCTGTTTTAATATATAAGATTATATATTAGTATCCTCATGTATATGTATGAGAACAATAGTTTGCCAAAACCACTACCATTATCGTACTCACCACCCTTTGAAAGTTTGCTCCGCCTATGCATGTATTCCCTATTATATTATTAAAATAATTTTACATTATATTAATTTTTTTTTGACATTACATTATATTAATATTAAAAGTACTTTACATTAAACATTGATTTTAGAATAACAAAAAAGAGATGCCAAGAAAAAGTTGAAGAGGTTTTTATCAGTTCTCTTTATACATGCAGCAAATTACAAAGCCGGCATACAACATAATTACAAATTGTTGCAAGCACTAAAAAATAGGTTAAAACTGAGTAAAGTTACATTCACATAAGAAACTTAAAAAACAAGCTTCAAGTGTTCTTCCTTTGCTGGGTCCATAAGTTAACTGCGTCCGAGCACGATAGGGAACGTGTGCAGATCAGTGAAGTGCGTGGTGGTTGTGGTCTATGGCCGTCCCGTGGTGATGCAGCCTTATGTCTCGATCATCGATGCCCTAAGGTCAAGGAGTGGCTGATGTTTTTTTTTTTTGATAAAAGAGTGGCTGATGTTCTGTTTGGTGATTTTGGATTCACCGGAAAGTTGCCCACGGCATGGTTTAAGTCCGTGAAGCAGCTGTCGATGAATGTTGGTTATCTGCATTATGACACGTTGAACCCGTTTGGTTTAGGGTTGACCACAAAACCATACAAGTTGTAGACGTCTCTTGTTCTAAGGCAAAGAAAGATATTGATGGCTTAATGGACCCAACTAAATCAATTGCAGCGAAGGAAATAAATTGCTACTTAAAATGACTATTTTCACCAATGATATGAAAGAAAATAAATTAGTTGAAACTAATACTTATTTTTTAGTACTTTTTTAAAAAAAAAAAACTAATATTTGTAGTATGTTATCTGGCAAATTAGTTAGCATATATTCTGATGATTCTTTCTCATTATGTTATTTATCAAAATGAAAAGATTTTTCTTTATATATGTTGCCATAACGATACAAATACAAGAAGATAGACAAAATTCTCAACCTCTTATGGTGCGGTATCCCCATTCAAGACAACAATATCTCAACCTCTTTATTGTCTCATTAAAAACATTGTAAACATTCATCGTTGTCGTCGTCATCACATCTCTTTTTTTGTCTTCTCCTTCACAAACGGTTAATGAATAATCAGTCTTGAACTATATTATTGTTATTCAGCTGCAGGTGTAGAGACTGAAGGAGGCAAAGATGTGTAGTTTGAGTTACTTTCTACACACGTTAGGGCTTCTCATGCTCTGCTTCTCCGTGGCAGCTAACAAAGAACCACTTGCAAACGCCAAGTACAAGAACCCAAAGGAGCCAGTAGAAGTCAGAATCAAGAACCTGATGAGTTATATGACTCTTGAAGAGAAACTCGGGCAGATGGTTCAGGTGGAACGCGTCAATGCCACAACTAAAGTCATTAAAAGCTACTTCATCGGTATGATTCGTCTATAACAATGTTCAAAGCCTATACAAATACTCAAAACGTTTCAGAGTTATGTGTGCAGGAAGTGCGTTTAGCGGTGGAGGGAGCGTCCCCGCGCCAAACGCCACTCCTGAAGCTTGGGTGAACATGGTGAATAAGATCCAAAAGGCAGCTCTTTCAACCCGCTTAGGGATTCCCATTATCTACGGGGTCGATGCTGTTCATGGTCACAACAACGTGTACAATGCCACCATTTTCCCACATAACGTAGGCCTCGGAGTCACCAGGCAAGCTCTCATAGAGAATCTGTTATAATTAACTAAGTATATAAATGAATATTGGTTTTAAGTTGAACATTCATGATAAATTAAAATTTAACATGGTATTATGTTGTATTAATTTCTTAGGGACCCTAACCTTGTGAAGAGGATTGGTGAAGCAACTGCTCTTGAAGTTAGAGCAACAGGAATCCAATATGTGTTTGCTCCATGTATTGCAGTAAGTACTAAAATCTGAATCGAACAGAAGCAGAGAAATATAGTTTTGTTTGTGATTAATAACTTTGAACAGGTGTGTAGAGACCCTAGATGGGGAAGATGCTATGAGAGCTACAGTGAGGATCACAGAATAGTTCAGCAGATGACTGAGATCATACCTGGTTTGCAAGGTGACCTTCCCAGGGGTCATAAGGGTGTTCCTTTCGTGGCTGGAAAGTAAGTATTACAATCTCTAGAAATGCAAAGTTATTCATGAAGCTGATATTGGATTATAATAAACTTACAGGACCAAAGTAGCAGCTTGTGCTAAGCACTTTGTTGGAGATGGAGGTACATTGAGAGGGATGAACGCTAACGACACGGTTATTAACTCAAACGGATTGCTTAGCATACACATGCCGGCTTATTATGATGCGGTAAACAAGGGTGTTGCAACGGTTATGGTGTCGTACTCGTCCTTGAATGGGTTGAAAATGCATGCCAATAAGAAACTTATCACAGGTTTCCTCAAGAAGAAGCTCAAGTTTAAGGTTAACTCTAATCATTAGAAGAATGCATCAAGAAACAGACATTTGAGTAAAGAAATGTGATTTTTTTTTTGCAGGGAATTGTAATCTCAGATTTTCTAGGTGTTGATCAGATCACCACACCTATTCATGCTAACTATTCACATTCTGTATATGCTGCTATCACTGCTGGACTTGATATGGTTAGTCTCAAAAAACTGTTCTCCTACCATGTTTTAAACACACTTGATATCATGATTAAAGAAAAACTTGTGATGCAGTTCATGGGTTCATCAAACTTGACCGAGTTAATCGGCGACTTAACAAGTCAAGTGAAGGGAAAACTTATTCCAATGAGCAGAATCAATGATGCTGTGGAGAGAATTTTGAGAGTCAAATTCACAATGGGGCTCTTTGAGGATCCCATGGCTGATCATAGCTTGGCCAACAAGCTCGGCTGTAAGGTCTGTAGGAAAAAAAAAACATGAGTTTTCAAGACAGAGAACAACCCAACTCAAACTCTGGTCCATGTAACAGGAACACAGGGAGCTAGCAAGGGAAGCAGTGAGGAAATCACTGGTGCTGTTAAAGAATGGTGAAAATGCAGATAAGCCATTGCTTCCTCTGCCAAAGAAAGCTAAAAAGATACTTGTCGCGGGAACACACGCTGATAACTTGGGATACCAATGTGGAGGCTGGACAATCACTTGGCAAGGCCTCAAAAGCAACAATCTCACCATAGGTACACACTATACACACCTTTCAAATGAATCATCCTTTCTTCACTTGTTTGGATCATCATATTGAACATAAAAGAAATATATGAACAAATTTTTATTTCTATAATAATTAAAAATATAGAAAATGCTATAAATTCATTTAAAATAAGAATATACAAAAAATAAGTTAGATAACCATCAAAATCTAATAAATTTAAAATTTAAAATTTGGCTATTAGAATCTAACATTATTTTTTCGTAAACGAATTAATTTCTTCACTGAAATCATAACTTCATCCAAATTATAAAAAGTCTAACATAAATTTGTGCTATTATATGTTAGCTTAATGATTTTATAATATATATTTTTTGATGTTTTATCTAATTTTTTTTAAATATTTTCCAGCATCCGTTATAACCGAAGACATGAGTCACATGACCTTTAGGCTTTAGTATTTCTCAGACATGCTATAAGATCTATTACAGAACATAACCACTATGAGATTGAGTTTTGCAGGCACAACGATCCTCACTGCAGTTAAAAACACGGTGGATCCGACGACACAAGTCGTCTACAACGAGAACCCCGAGACCAACTTCATCAACTCCAGCCACTTCGATTACGCAATCGTAGTCATAGGGGAGACACCATACGCGGAAGGATACGGAGACAGCACGAACTTAACCATATCCGAACCGGGTCCGAGCACAATGGAGAACGTGTGCGGGCTGGTGAAATGCGTGGTTGTGGTTATCTCGGGACGTCCGGTGATGATGCAGCCATACGTGACGAAGGTCGACGCTCTCGTGGCGGCGTGGCTTCCAGGAACGGAAGGACAGGGAGTAGCTGATGTTTTGTTTGGAGATTATGGATTCACTGGGAAGCTGGCTAGGACGTGGTTTAGGACAGTGGATCAGTTGCCTATGAATGTTGGTGACCCGCGTTATGACCCGTTGTATCCGTTTGGATTCGGGTTGACCACAAAGGCAAATAAACAGCTTTGAGATTTCGTTGGCGCCAATGATAAAAGTTAGTTTAAAAAAAAAAATCTATAAAATCATGTTTTAAATAAAATTGATGGCTCAAACAATTTTGAGTTCACTGCCTGATTAAGAAGGGTTTAGGGAAACTAAAAAGGGCTTGTTATAGAATTGAGAGATACTTGTGTTGTTGTTGTTTTTTTTCGGAATATGAGTCATAATCTCCTACTTTTGTTAGATTCATTTAAAGGTCGAATTAGTAAAATGAATGGAGTTTTCTTTTTCAGTCGAGGTTCTTCTAATTGTTCATGCAAAGCTCTTTCTCCTCGTGTGAAAGAGGGAGCTACTCTGACTGTTTTTGATTGTGTTTCTGATGACTAAATATTAATTTGTTAAACGGTCCAAAATCAAGAAGTTAAATGAATTAAAATTCATAACTTTGGCATCTCCTATTTTTATATATAGTTTTTAAGAAACTGAATGAGGATTTGTAACATGTAAATCAAAGACATTACACATACAACCAAACCAGCTAATTTTTAACGATTAATTTTGGTTTTGCTTGTCCAACCAAACCAAAAAAAAAAAACCGAACCGGATCAGGTAGAAGAAAAAACAAGACATTACACATACAACCAAACCAGCTAATTTTAACGATTAATTTTAGTTTCGCTTATCCAACCAAACCAAAAAAAAAAGAACCGAACCGGATCACAACCCAACCGACTTCATCCTTTCCTCCTGATCAAGAAAACTCTTTTGCAGCTACCTACAATTCTACAAAAATCTCAAGAAAGACAGAGAGATCTTTCCTTCATTCCCATCAAATTCTTTCAAAAATCCTCCTCATCTCTCAGAGAAGGAAAGCATTAATGGATGCATCGTCGTCTCTTTCGGAAGAAAGCTTGAAGCTTGAACTCGACGATCTACAGAAACAGCTGAACAAAAAGCTGAGATTCGAGTCATCTGTTCGTTCTATTCATTCCCTTCTCCGTGATCGCTACTCTTCCTCCTCTCCTTCTCTCCGCAAACAGGTTTGCTTCTATTTCCCAGATTACCCCACCAAACACATAATTAAAAACATTGAATCATATTTTTAATTGTTTAATTATTTACTTTGGGGATTTGAAGTAGGAATCAAGTTTCTTCCTTTATTGTTCTTCATTACAATTGTTGAGAGCCCCAATTGATCCGACATGAAACGGTGTTTGTCTTGTTACCTTTCTGACACGATAACATTGTTTCGTTTTAAGACAAAGAGATATACATTAACATTGCTGCTGTCTTGTATTTATGTTCGATGGTTGATTTTTTTTGCTTCGGGGATTAAATTAGGAATCAAAGCATCTTTTATTTATTTGTTTCCATTACAATTATGGAGAAGGTCTATCTTCATACCAATGATCTTTCCGACATGAGTTTCAACAGACACTTTGTTTTTTTTTTTTTAAGTTTCTATGTTGTAGCCGAATGAATGTTTGTGTAGTTCATTTCAAGCATCTTCCTTTGTGTTCCGTTGTCCATCTTCATGTCAAGCATATTTAATTGATCTGGATACTTTGTTTTGTTCAGTTTCTATGTTATAATGCAATGAATGTTTGTGTAGTTAGTTACGTCTCTGACACGTTTTTTTATGCAGTTCTATACAGTTGTGTCTCGTGTGGCAACGGTTCTCAAGACAAGATACACAGCTACTGGGTTCTGGGTTGCGGGTCTAAGCCTTTTCGAGGACGCTGAGACACTTGTCTCTGATGCTTCTGAGAAGAAACACTTGAAATCTTGCATTGAACAAGCGAAAGAGCAGTTAACCGAAGTGGATATTCAGCCAACAGAGAGATCACAAGGCTATCTTTTCGAGGGACATCTAACGGTTGATCGTGAGCCGGCACAGCCTCAGTGGCTGGTGCAGCAGAATCTCATGTCTGCTTTCTCTTCGATCGTTGATGGTGAATCCTCTAATGCTGCTGCTCTTGGGAACGTTTTGGGGGAAACGGCTAACTTGATGCAGGAACTCATCAATGGTCTTGACAGTATCATTCCAGAGGTAGCTTTTTTAGAATCTTTTTGGCATTGCCCCTTTTGTAACATTGTGTATTAGGATTGTATTTGTTTAAACCCGAAACTCTAATGTGATATCGGTAGTGTCTTTTGGCTTTTAGCGTCTTGATTGATAACAATGATGTATTCTATGCAGATACTAGAAGATAGTGGACCACCAAGAGCTCCACCTGCAAGTAAAGAGGTTGTGGAGAAACTTCCAGTGATTGTTTTCAATGAGGAAATGCTCAAAACTTTAGGAGCAGAGGTGGAATGTTGCATCTGCAAAGAGAATTTGGTAATCGGCGACAAAATGCAGGAGCTGCCATGCAAGCACACGTTTCACCCTCCTTGCTTAAAGCCTTGGCTGGTAATAAACAAAAAAAAAATCCTTGTTTATTGTTTAAAAGTTGCATTATGTATAAGCTTACGAGTAAGAACAATAGCTTATGATCAAATTGTTTGTGTGGCAGGACGAGCATAACTCTTGCCCTATATGCCGGCATGAGTTACCGACAGATGATCAGAAGTACGAGAGCTGGAAAGAGAAGGAGAAAGAGGCTGAGGAAGAGCGTAAAGGCGCAGAGAATGCTGTCCGTGGAGGTGAATATATGTACGTTTAAAAATAGTGGCTCTTCATTTGCGTTCTTACATCTCACATGTTGGTCATTCATTCTCGTGTATTTTACTCGTTTCTTTTCTGTGTATTGGTCTCATTCTTACTGAACTGCGCTCCTCATAATGAATACAGCAATTCTCAGTTTGAATATATCACACTGTTTTTATTTCTAAGCACGTTTTTGTTTACATCAATAATCCTTGGATTAGTTATTTAGCTCAAAAGAAGCAGTTGGACAAGTCTTTGAAACGATAAACATTCAACCAATAACAAATACAAACACATTTTTCAAACTGATTTAAAGAGAGAAATGGAATGGCTAACACATCAGAGGGAGTAAGCTGCTTAAGGAGGTTATTCTTTCTTTTGACCACCTGCAGCCTTCATGAGCTTCTCCATCAATCCCTTAACATCAGGTTTTTTCTCATCATCCGCGGTGACAGGCGAGAGAAGGACCATGATGATAATTAAGAGGAGGAAGATTAAGAAAGTAGTAGTAGTTGAAAGAGGGGAAGCCATATCTGGTGTCTTAGGATATGAGATTATAGTGGATGGAAGTAAAAGAAAAGAGAGCGGTTGTTTTTATAGAGGGAGTGTGTGTATAAATTAAGCAGTGGCCTGGCTGAAGCTTATTCAATAGCTAAATGAAAACGTGCTTGCATCTCGCTCACAAGTCAAGAACCATTAGATTATCTAGGATGATCTAATATTTTGTGGGAATCCTAAAACTGTGATTCACCCTGTCTTTCTGATAAGATACATTATTTGTAGTGGACATCAAGTACAGAAGATGGTCGAGAAACTTCCAGTTGTCATTTTTCAGTGAGTAATAAAAAAAAAGCCTGCCATGCAAGCACACGTTTCATTAAAGCCTTGGCTGGTAAAAACAAAACCCGTCCTTGTTCATTGTTTAATATTTTATAGTTTACGAGTAAGAACAGTAGCTTATGATCAAACTGTTTATGCGCTCTGTGACAAGACGAGCCTAACTCTTGCCTTATATGCCGCCATGAGTTACCCACAGATGATCAGAAGTACGAGAGCTGGAAAGAGAGGGAGAAAGAGCGTAAAGGCGCAGAGAATGCTGTCCGTGGAGGCGCATATATGTACGTTTAGAATAGAATAGTGACACTTCATTTGCTTTCTTACATCTCACATATTGGTCATTCACAGTCACACTCACATGCTGGTCATTCAAAGTCCTAGTAGATTTGCTGTCTATTTTTTTCTATGTATTGGTCTCATCATTTCTTACTGAACTTCATTCCTCATAACGAATACAGAGAACATCAATAATACATGGATTAATTATTTATCACAAAAAGAAGAAGCAATTAGACTTGTGAAAGTCTTTGAAACGATAACATTCAACCAATAACAAACACACACACACACACATTGTTCAAACTGATTTAGAAAGAGGAGCGGAATGGTAAACCCAAACCAATTGGCTGCTTAAGGTGAACTTGCTCCTTCTTTTTTACCCGCCAAAAGCTTAGCGATAATTGCCTTCAAATCAATTTTTGGTGGATCATCCGCGGTAACAGGCGAGAGATTAACGGTGAGGATAAGGAAGAGAAGGAAGATTAAGAAAGTAGTAGAAGTAGTGGTAGAGAGAGTAGAAGTCATATTTTCTGTCTTGGATCAAGATTGTGATGGATGGAATGGAATATGCAGTAGTATTTATTAACGGAGTGTGGATGAATTGGCAATGAACTGGCTGGAGCCAAGTCAAGACTTTAATTGGCAACGTGCTTTCATGTTGCTCAAAATTCAGAACCATTATTACACTATTTAAGCCACCATTATCGGGAAGTATCTTACGTTTCAAAACTAATCTCTCATCAAATACATATTAGTAGTATTTAAATATAAGTTTTTAGATATTTCTACGAAAATCTCAATTGAAAAACTTTCACATGAATCTTGTTTTTGAGTGGTTTTCATTTAAATACTAATATATCTGATCAGAGATTTATGTTGAGATAGTCAATGTACTTAGGATGATTTGCTTTGTTCTCTTATTTGGAGTCGAAATCAAGTAAAGAAGATGTGAAGAAAATTCCAGTTGGCATTTTCAATAACATAACATGAAAGAGTTAATAGTTAGATAAGAGTCCAGTACAATGTTTCTTAAAACCACAGTAGTTTGTTCTTTCACTAGATGATAAATACTCTGGTATTCATCATTAGGAGGAAATGTAAAATGATAAACATGTCTTAACCCCTCCAGACATGCATTATACAGACAATCATACGACACTACAACAGCATATTATGATACATTGTCACAAGTTTTGTAAGCTTTAAAGGTTGATCCTCTGCTAAGCAATACTCTTCCTCCTTAATAGAGGCATTGTCTGTCTTCTTCATGTCTGAAACAGAGTAAGGGTTTTTGTTGACCAATCTGCATATTAAGAATGTGAATGTTGCTGTTAGATTCACTAACTATGATCAAACTGTCTTTACAAGTATCCCCCTCTTAGTTATATAAGTATAAGAAACTTAATAAAACTGATCAGATTTGAGTTTCAAAATACATGTAGTGTAGTTATAAAGAAGTAATACCTGTCACGTCTTCAATAGTGTAAAGATTGATGTAACCACTTGATATCGAATACTTACCAGCTGCAGATCTGCAATACGAAATGACTGTGCAGCTGCAGCAGATGTGCTTGGGAATGAAAGAGCTCTGTTCAGTGCTGGAGAAGCAGAAGCAGCAGCAATACGGATGATTTCTTGAATCTACAAGCATAGATCAAAGTGAGAGACAGAAAACCTGAGATTTTCAGACCAGAAAATGAAGTAGAATGTGGTAAACTGGAACCAAACCTTTTCTGCTGGAATCCCATGGAAGACATTAATATTCCCACCAAATTATAAGTGCAGATGAGGCGACAATAACAAGTGCGGAAAGTAAAAATACATCATATTTGTTAACAAGATTCATTTTCTATATCCCTGGATTTTGTCTATATTTCAGTGATCACTAAAATAAAAAAAATAATCTACAATTTTTATATGGTACAACATACACATTTGTGTCTATCACTCTTTCTAGATAGACACCTATAAACATTAGGAATTAAACACGCATGCATAGATTATTATCTGGCGCACAAGAACTCACCGTCTTCAAACAACAACAATCTTCACAGACCACCACAATGAAATCTCATGTGCTAAATTCTCATTGAGTCTTGGATTCAATCTTTCATATCTCTAGAAATACTTCACCAAGTAAATTAGTATCCAACATATACCAATGACACAAAACGCTTGGTCACTCAAACACACACAGATCTCACCATGAACTCCACACAATGGCTAACACCACCATACAAAGCGTCAGCTCCAACAACACTAAACTAAGTTCACATCGGACTCCAATAGACAATGTTTTAGAATGTACTTCAACACCAATCAGTAACACACACCAAGAAAACTTCTCTATCTCTTCTTTGAGGTTTTGCATTCTGGTAATGCACGTCCCTCCTTATATAGCAGCCAGAACTTGCTCTCCATGACTTTGACTTGCACTTCAAGTCTTCCAACAACTTTCCATTTCTTTAATAGAAAGCTTCATCTTCAAGCAAACTCTATTTTCTTGTATTAAAAATGTCCATTTGTTTCAAACACATATCATCTTTTCTTTTCCAAGTTCAGCAAGTTAACACTCATCATAAAACATGAATTCCAATATAGCCCATCTGCATGTCACGCGTATATACTATCTCTTGTATTACTTCACGAAATAATACAAAACATTTGGAAAACTACATCTTCACAAATAAAATAGTAAATTGAATAGGCAGCATCGTTGAAGCATCTGGCTCAGTGGAAGGAACTTCCATGGGCCTTTGATAGCAGAAAAAATCCCATCAAACACCACACTGTAAAGATGGACTACCGTCTACCGATGCAATACTAAGAAAAATAAAATAAAAAGATAGAAAATAACTCTCCACATACTGCTGCTAGAAAAATGCCATTAGACAGTGTATATAAAAGCTAGGGATGTTTATAATGAACACTTTGTAGGCATGAAGAGTTATGAAGCACAATTGTTCCAGCCAAGAAACATGGCTTTCCCTAAATTGCAAATAAGATCCTTAAATATCTTCTATATATATATATACATACATCCAAATTTAAACTGAACCAAACGTTGATCTGTGGACTGTGGGTGCAACTGGATTATAAGTTTTTGAAATGAAATTGTATGGAATGACTTAACCCGGTGATGCTCCTCACGCCGTCACAACACCCACCTTGGAAAGTTGGACGAAAGCTTTTGGCTCTTTTCCATATGAACCATGGTCATTTCTCTTGTAAGTCTATCAGTTCTTTACTGGTTGGTTTCTAGATTTTTGATATTTTTCGCCTGATTTATCTGCTTTCTTCTCCTTAACGTCGTCTTGACAAGGAACCTCCAAGATTTACTTCCTCAGAAGCATCAATTAGTTAGATACGCGGTGAATCTTTCTTTTTCTAATTACAATGTTGTTTCGACAACTAAGAGCGGGATTATCGGGGTATTTTTTAGGGGTTCATACCAAAAAGTAGGGGGTGGTCTCCACCAAAATGCCCAAGAATCGGTTGCAAAAATATTGAAATAAGGACTGAGTCTTGCATTGTTTCCGGGTCCCACTAACATAACGATTCGATATTGTTTTTTTCTAATTTTTTTTATCAGACCAAAAAGAAAAAGGAAAAAAAAAAGAATTCTAATTGGGTTTTAGCATTAACCATGCTCTATAAGATATGGTAATTAGAAGAAAGAAAAAACATGGTAACTTTGCAATGTGCGCGAATACAATAGACACTAATGATTGATCCATTGGGCTCAAAAAACTAATATTGGGCTTACTCATATACCCGTTGATAGTCGATGACCCAATTTTTCACATTATTTATTTTTTTGGTAAGAGTGCAATTTAAAAATATGACTTTTCTGAGAGAGGGTATTTGTGTCTCAGTGCTTTTCTTCTAGGGTTCACAAAAGATCTACTTTGTTCATTTCTACTCTTTGAACTACGTAACACTCGAGACTTCGTCTTTGGAGACCTCCGACACTGAGAAGCCCACCGTCTTCTTCTCCCGATCTTATCAATGCCGGTATGACTCTCCGTCGCCTCTTTCATTTTTATTTTTGCTCTTTCCGCGGCCAATTAACATTAGCTATTTTCGTATTTACAGATCGATAAGATCTTCAAAGATGATGCTAATGAAGAGAAAGGAGAACGTGCCAGGATGGTGAGAGCTTCTTCCTTCTTATCCTTTAGTTTTTTTTTTTTTCAGATTCACTGTAACTGTATTGAATCTGATTTTGATTTTGGTTGCTCTGTTTAGGCATCTTTCATTGGTGCAATGGCTGTAGCTGATCTCGTTAAGTCTACCTTAGGGCCAAAAGGAATGGTATCTTCCGATCCCTAATGTTTTATGAGCTCAACTTCGATTTCAGTTTAATTTAACTGTTTCTTTTGGCTGATTTTATTGAATTGTTTTTAAATCTTTTTTGTGATTTAGGATAAGATCTTGCAGTCTACTGGTAGAGGTCATTCAGTCACTGTTACTAACGATGGTGCGACTATTCTCAAATCACTTCACATTGATAACCCTGCTGCTAAAGTTCTTGTTGGTATGTGTTCTCTGCAACATCTTTAAGTTTTTTGTTTATTTATCTTTGTTGGGTACTTTCTTATTTTTTTGTGTTTGGTTTATTGTTTGTTCAGACATCTCGAAAGTTCAAGATGATGAGGTTGGTGATGGGACTACTTCTGTTGTTGTTTTGGCTGGGGAGCTTTTGAGGGAAGCTGAGAAGCTTGTTACTTCTAAGATCCACCCGATGACGATTATAGCTGGTGAGCTTCTTAACCGTTTTAGGTGTATCAGATGATATCAGCTTCTTTTCATTATGACAATGATGTACGTATTCTGGTTTCTTAGGTTACAGGATGGCTGCAGAGTGTGCTCGTGAGGCTTTACTGAAAAGAGTGATTGATAATAAGGAGAATGCAGGTAAATGATTATAAAGCTCTCTGGTTTGTGTGATTTCTTATTGTTGAGTTCACGCAGTGTTTTTCCGTTGCGTTTAGATTTTGGAAATCACACTGTTGTTTACAGTATTGTGTTTGTCAATGCAGAGAAGTTTAGGTCAGACTTGCTGAAGATTGCGATGACTACGTTGTGCTCCAAAATTCTCTCTCAAGACAAGGAACACTTTGCAGAAATGGCTGTCGATGCTGTTTTCAGGCTAAAGGTTCCAATCTCTGCCTCCTTTTGAAACTCCATTAGCAATATGTTTCTTCCTGCTCTTTCTCTGGAATTTCGTGTGTTATTTCTTTCATGGAAGATTAGCTTCCTTTGACAAATGTCATGAAAAATAGGCTTGTGTCATTTTGGAGTGCTATATGATTTGTGTCTAATATTCTGGGGTTGTCGTTCATATAGGGAAGCACAAACTTGGAAGCTATTCAAATCATCAAAAAACCTGGAGGTTCTCTGAGGGATTCCTTTCTGGATGAAGGGTAAGAAACCACTTGCGCCTTTTTTGGCACCTGTTCAAATATGTCATGTTTCTACTTCTTTTATGTTACAGAGCATATTTCGTGGTTGTAATTATAGTCTGGCGTTAGAATGATGAAAGGCATTATGTCATCTTGTTATGTTGCTGCATCCAGTTAATTTGTCTTCTGACATCTCAACTTGAATATTTTCTTTTAGATTTATTCTTGACAAGAAGATCGGAATTGGACAGCCAAAGCGCATAGAAAACGCAAAGATCTTGGTAGCTAACACTGCAATGGATACTGACAAAGTGAAAATTTATGGTGCACGTGTCCGTGTTGATTCTATGACCAAGGTTGCTGAGATCGAAGGGGCTGAGAAGGAAAAGATGAAAGACAAGGTGAATAAGATACTTGCCCACGGTATCAACTGCTTTGTTAACAGACAGTTGATCTACAATTTCCCTGAGGAACTCTTCGCAGACGCTGGTGTACTTGCTATTGAGCATGCTGACTTCGAAGGAATAGAGCGTCTTGGTTTGGTCACAGGTGGGGAAATCGCTTCGACCTTTGACAATCCAGAGTCTGTTAAGCTTGGGCATTGCAAGCTCATCGAAGAGATCATGATTGGTGAAGACAAGTTAATCCATTTCTCTGGTGTTGAGATGGGCCAGGCTTGTTCAATTGTCCTAAGGGGTGCTAGGTATCCATTTTTCACTCCTGTAAATACTTTACATAGAATTGTCCTGTTTCTAATTTTATCATGACAATATCTGTGTGATGACTTTGTTCTTGCAGTCACCATGTTCTAGACGAGGCTGAAAGATCACTCCACGACGCTCTATGTGTTCTCTCCCAAACAGTCAATGACAGTAGAGTGCTGCTCGGTGGTGGATGGCCAGAGATGGTGATGGCAAAGGAAGTAGATGAGCTTGCAAGGAAAACCGCCGGCAAAAAGTCACATGCCATCGAAGCTTTCTCACGTGCTCTAGTGGCTATACCGACAACAATCGCAGACAATGCTGGTTTAGACAGTGCGGAATTGGTTGCTCAGCTTCGTGCAGAGCACCACACTGAAGGGTGTAACGCCGGGATTGATGTCATCTCCGGAGCTGTAAGTAAATTCTATATGCGAAACAGATATGGTATATGAATTAGAATTAAATTATGATGATGAAAACATTGGTTCTTTTACAGGTAGGAGATATGGAGGAGAGAGGAATCTATGAAGCATTCAAAGTGAAGCAAGCGGTTCTGCTTTCAGCGACAGAAGCAGCTGAGATGATACTGCGAGTGGATGAGATCATTACATGTGCTCCTAGGAGGAGAGAAGACAGGATGTAAAAACACATCACGTGCACATGGTGGGAGAGAGCTTTCATGATTCACTATCACTATCTCCCCAGTGACCCATGTTCACTGCATTTGGATGTTTGCTCCTTAGACTCTGTTTTGTTTTTGTTTTTAAACCCGAATATTGTTTTGTTTGTGTTTTCAAAGGTTTTTTTTTGACAAATTGTGTTCTTAGTAGTTTAAACTTGTCGTCTAGTAACTTCACCCATAACTTATTCTCGACCACTAGGGCCACCTGCATACAAGATACTAAAATTTTCACCAAGATTAATTAGATATCTGAAATGTTTAATCTGTTTGTGTCAGAATTTTTCAAGTTTGTTATACAGTTGTGTTTTTTGTAAGAGCTTTTAAATATTTTAACCATAATAGATGATTGGACTTGTTACAAATTCCATAGTTTTTTTTGTTTTGAAAATTTAAAAATACAATTTTTAGAAAAGAATAACATAATACAAGATCAGTTAAGTGATATGAATTTATTCAACTATAAAACTCAAATGATCTTTTCTGACTATTTGTAAAAATTCCTTAGGTTATAATGTAAAAATTCTACAAAAGATATTAGTCGTCAGTTCGCCTACCTATAACTACAACCGTTATGGTGGTATGGAGTTGTAAAGTTTGGTCAACCGACCAGAACACGTTGTAAAGGGGAGCAGATCATAACATGGGACCTCATAATCGCGAGCTTTAGTTATAGCGACACCCTTTTTATCAATTGTCTTACCAGAAAATCATGTAACTTTTATAGAAGATTTGGTGATTTGAATCTCAAAAATATCCATGATCTTCTAGCTTTCGATTTCTTTTACCAGACCAGTTAAAAGGCACACCAATTTGATAGGAATGCATAATTATATTGGTCCGACATGAACTCACAGGGTTTTCTTTTCAACTTGTCACAACTCTTTTATTCAAGAAACTTTTCCTTTTTACCATCGTCCATGGAGGAGCCTTTCTTTTTTTTTTCTCTTTAGACTTTTGATCAATGCATCTTCCCTGAATAAAGAAAGATTTACAATACACTGTAGGTGTTTCAAAAAAAAAAAACAATACACTGTAGCTACACTGTTTTATTGTTTTCATAATATCCTGACGACAGCAATTTCTTTTAACGAACACTTCGTTTAGTTATTTTTAGTATTCATTGTTTTGAAGCAAACTAGTAAAAAAAAATAAGTAGGAATAGGATACAAAATAGATTTATATGAGAAACTATATTCATTTACAGTTATACATATAAAGATAGATTCCTAACTAGTGATTGACAAAGCAGATTTTGATTCTTGGTTAGTTTAATAATAATAAAATTAAGAGATTTTAATTAATTTATATGATTGGCTTGCATATGCGTCGATTTGGTGGTTGGAATAAAACCTGAACTGGCACTATTTCATTTGTTGGTGTATATTAAAGGGCGTTTGGTATTTCGAATGATTTGAGCCATTAGAAAAACTTTGAAAAGTTTAGCTAGTTTTGAAGAATATTGGATAATCATTATCATTGTTTTACAGAATAAGTTGGTGAAAGAGACGATTCAAGCGCTGACAGAAGTCAATTACGCTAGCTTCAGGTGTAAGGAGTTAGAGCTGGTCTGACCTTAAGATTTTGGAAGTCTTAAACAATTTATTTAAAAAATTTATAAAAAAAAATATTTGTAACCATTTAGAAACCTATGCATAAGTAGATAGTTCGAACACTTTTTAGGTTTAAAAGCCAATATTTCACTTGGATATATCTAAGATTGGCTCTGGAAATCGAGTCTTCTAATAACTGAGGTAAAAAAAACCTATGCATTAGTAAGTATGTTACAATGGATATATATATGCATGGATTGTCAATTCAAATCAGGTTTGCTTCTGATTGGGTCGAGCAAAAGTCTGCAAATGAACAGCATTACTTACCAAACTAAGCAACCAACACCAATGGGGATGATCTAGTATTGTATGGATGACATGTTTTTCTTTTGACGACAGATGATGTGTTAATTAGTCAGATAAAACTCATTGGGAAAAGGTATTGCATAAGCGTGAGCATTAAATATAATTAAGATCTAAGCCGGTCAATAATCACGTAGGTTTTGTAGATGAATATTGTCTCTGCCTATGCGTCAAAAGCCAGAAATGACGCCATACATTTTAACTTTTCAAAGCATAAATTAGGATATTATTACAGTAATTCTATCTTTTTGGTCATTGAATGGTCATATTCCATAAAAATCAAGATAACAAAATGTAAAATATTCAGTGTTTTTCTTTTTGCTTTGGTAAAGAAAAAAAAAGTAGAAATTAAAAAGAGAAGCTGACTTAGTTGAGACCAGATGAGTATGACACGAACGGCATAAATGCTTCCATCACGTCATTTATTTAATTAATTTGAGCCCTATAGTTTTCTAAGACCCACAGTTTGACATTAATTTTTGTTTATTTAGATATTTCCTCCAATTTTGTTGAAACTATTTGAATAATTCCTGCTAGTTAATCAAGAAAAGCAGCAATGATTATATTCTCATATTATTTTCGCAGTGCATAATCAAACACATCTTGTCCTTTTAAACATCTTATATATTAAAACAGAAGTCACAACCTTCATTCATGTGTGATTTTTTAGAAAATGGACTATTCCTTAAAAAAATTATCAATGTTACAAATCTAATGATAATATCTTTAAGTATCTTTATCTTTTTATTTAAAATAGAAATGAAATAAATCCAACAAAATCTTTTTGTAATCTTTTTAAATTTTATTTCCTTAAATCATTGAATTTAAATTCTAATTATAATAAAATATCACTAAAAATTATTATTTTATTTATAAATGAAAATTTCAAATTATCTAAAAGATTTTAGTTATATTTTAATGAGAATTATAATATAAATTAATGGAATTTCGAAAACACTTATTTACAAAATTTAAATAGATTATGTTAGAATAAAAATAAAATTCTATTTCAAATATACAAAATAAAATATTATATATTTATCTATCTATTCTATTAAAATGAAGTCATGAGTTATTTCATGTATAATTGTTTTACTTGGACCATTCTTTAAAAAATTATCAAATTTTACATAATTTAATTATAATATCACCCTATATCTTTATCTTTTATTTGAAATACAAATATTTTTGTTTAAGAAATTAAAATTTATCTAGATAACACTATATATTCCTAAAAAATAAATTAAAAAGCTGTATACTGGAATTCGACCGAGACAGATTTTTCATTATGTAAATATAAAAATTTGTTAGTATTGTAAAAATTAAATATATGATTTACATTTAACTATATATATATTATAAGTTTATAATTTTGTTGTTTAAGTTTATTATTCGTCATTATTAATATATAGTAATTTGTTTTAAATATTTTAATTCATATTCTTATTGATTGTTATTAATTATTAATATATTTTGAAGTTTAATACATAAATTATAATCTGAAATAATCAAATATATAATATTTTTAATATAAAGTTGTAGTTTCTACAATTTGCATACAATACATTTTAACATTTATTTAGATATACTATAGATAAATATTAGTTAATGATAATTTATATTTTCATGTTGTGTTTAAAAATGATATTTTAACATCTATTACTTTAGTATTTTGCAAAATTTTATAAATAAATATATTATTACTTATTGATAATTTTTTATAAATTATAAATACCGCACGGTTGTGCGGGTCAAGATCTAGTTATAATTAAAGTGAATATTCTCAATTCAAAATACTTATAGAAAAATAATCATGTGCACATATTCTTTAGTCAAAAACAAAAGTTTGAAGTATATACATTCATCACAAATGAAAACTCGACACCTATATATTGTAAAAGCTAAACAATAAAGAAAATTGAAAACTTTTAACCTAATAGTTAGTTAATGATTTATACCAAAAAAGAGAATATCAAAGTCCCAAAATGTAATATATTCTTAATTATACAAATTAATAGATGTTTCTTAAAAAAAATAGTGCAAATAAAATAATAAAACATTCTAAAATGATTTAGTACAAAAAGACCTAACATAAATGTTTAAAAACAAGTACTCTCTCCACAAAACTGTCGTCATAATGAAAATTTTGTTATAAAATAAATGTTATTTAATTTTCAATACAAATTTATTAAATGTATAATAAAATTAGTTGTGTTTTTAATCCGTATGTAAAGTTAAAGTAACATTTAATATAAAATAATTGGATAATATTAACATTGTTTAATAAAATAATATCAAAATAATAAAAATATTTGAACAGCAATTTGCTTAAGTTATATTCTTCCGTTCCTGAAAGATACACATTCTAGAAATTTTTTTCTAAAAGATCTATTTTTTACATTTTCAATACATATTTTATTAATTAATTGTAAAATTCAAAAAATTTAATTGCATTAATTGATTTTTTTAATTTAAAATTATGAAAAGAAGATAAAATATAAAAACTATGCGAATTTTATTATATTTTATTAAAAATGTGAAAAACTAGAATATGGATCTTTTAGGAATAATCCGAGTATAATAACTCCTAATCAACTTATTTAATTAGCACAATTTTTAAAAATATGAAAAATCATAAATAAATAAATAAGAAAAAGAAAGGTACCCCACCACTAACTCACAAAAAAAAAGCAAAGCATCAGCAAAATCAAACTACTATTTAAAACGCATCTCCTCCTTCATTATTCCTTCCCCTTCTCCTCTCTCTCTCACTCATCAGCTCCAAACAAACATCACAATGAGCTTCTTCATCGAAGATTCAGGTCTCATCATCACTCAACTCCTCTACAAAATGGCTCTTCTAATCACCGTCCTCAGATGGATCTTCTCCTTCATCTTACGCTACCGATCCAGATCCACATCATCCTCCTCCTCCACTCCTTCGATCTCCTCCCAAGCCATCAAGGAGAGCCTCTCCGTCACGACGTTCCGTGACGTGGCGGAGCGATCTCCGGAACTGATCAGCGACACTTGCGCGGTGTGTCTCGGAGATCTGGAGGACGGAGATGAGGTTAGAGAGCTCAGAAACTGTAGCCACGTGTTTCATCGCGAGTGTATCGACAGGTGGCTGGATTACGAGTGTGATGATAATAATGATGGGGAGGAAGATAATCATCGCACGTGTCCTCTGTGTAGAACTCCGCTTCTTGCTGCTAATACGTCGTCGTGTTGTGGAGATTGGCCGACGAAGAGTGAACCTAGCTGGGCCGTTGAACGGCTTCTCTACCTATTCGGCGACGATCTTCGCAACTGATTTCTTTTCCTTTTTTTTTTTAATTTTATTTTTCTTTTCAATTCTATTTGATTTTAGTGAGGGTCGATCATGATCAACAGAAATTATTTGGTACATTTTGTAATTTTGTTAATTTTTAGGATATAATACGAAATATGATAATAAATATCAACTTTTAAAAACTTGTTTTGTGTATCAGCAAATCTATGACTTCGGTAACGTTTAATTTAAGCGTTACGGAAAACTTTAATTTGGTGTATATGTGCTCATAAAATGTTAATACAAAATCCAGATTAACGTTCTTGACAATTCAACTAATATTTTTTGCTTTAAAGATTTCCATAGAGCTTATTAATGTCTTCGTGAAAATCATCTTAAAAGTGATGAAGGTTATACTTGCCATTAGAATTCAAACTTACATAGTATATAATTAGAAAAAAACGACTAATCAGAAGGTGAATAGTCAACATACATTGTGTTAATAAGAATTATTTTCCGTTACTATGTCACTCTACATAAACTGAACTAACCAGTCTCACCAACATCTTTACTATTTTAGGCCACAACTGTTAAAAGTGACAACAAAAACAAAATGACAAATCCAACATTTTCACAGTAACCTAACAAATCCAACATTTTTCACAGTAACCTCACTCTTAAGAACCAAACCATCTTTAATTTAACAGCGAGACCTGGAACGGCCCAAAGATACAAACCTCTAGTGACCAATGGTTTTAACTTTTAACGAAGCAAATTGAAGCACAGTCGTTTTGACGAGTAGGGCAACTGTGGGGTCCACTCTTTCTTCTCTCCTAGAAAAATAAAGATAGAGACGAGTGTGTAAATGTTCCTATCAATACCATATCCCATCTTTCAATGGCGGCACAAAAACAGATGCTCTACCAGGTCGATGGATCTACTACAGATTCACTCATGCAATCAATGACCGAGGTTCAAACAACCATGTCCCAGCTCCACTCTTCCGTAGCTGTGTTGCTCAGCTCCATGTCCGAGATCCTAAAATCCATGACCGAGATGAAAACAGCTCTTCAACACACCACGACCACGACAACGGAACAACCAACAGTCACTGAGGTTGAACAATACATCCCCGTGGATAGATCCAACGAAGAGAAGAAGAAAGACTCATCATCTCTCCACATCTACCCAAAGAGAATCGAAGTCGAGATGCCTATATTCAACGACCAAAACCCAAACCTATGGATCATCAAAGCCGAAAGATACTTCGAACTCGGAGACTTCACAGAGAAAGAAAAGATCCTAATATCTTCCCTAACCTTCAACGGACCAGCACTGAACTGGTTCATCGTCACGGACCGTCTCCATCCTTTCACAGATTGGGAAGATTTCAAGTCTCAGCTGCTAGATCGGTTCGGTCCTTCCGAGTCTGCGATGAGCCGTTTACTTAATCTCAAGCAAGTGGGAGGATCTGTCGTGGAGTATCTTACCAAGTTCGAGGAGATAGCGTTGGAGTTACCGAAAGGTGAGGAAAGGCACGAGGTTTTTTTGGAAAGTGTGTTTGTTAATGGGCTTAGGAAGGGGATTAAGGACATGCTTCCTTTGTTTCAACCTAAAGGGTGGGATGAGATTGTTGCACAGGCTCGTAGGTTGGAGAATTGTCGGTTCTTGGAGAGGTTGTTGATGGTTGGTTCTTGAGGCTTTGTCTTGATGTGAATAGGTAAGCTCCGTTAGGTTATAACACGTTTCTAAGCAATCAAACATGTTTATGGACTAGTTTGTTTTCGTTGTTTGATGATAGTTTTATGGATTCTTGATGCTTATTGCAACATATAAAAAGTTGTCTTTTTAATCTATCTCCTAAGGCTTAACACTTTACCATGGTATAAAGTTTGAAACTTGCAATCACATGGAGTATATTAATCTGAGTATTAAGATTGTATGTGTGGGTTTAGAGAAAGGTTGTACACTTTCTTATAGTAATATTCTCTCAACACATGGGTCTCCATCTCATACACTCCATCCCTTTCTTCTTTCCCCTCCCTCTTATTCATCTCTCTAGTATAACTATAACCATGTGAAATCCTTATAATATATTTATTTATTTTTGTAAAAAATACATCATTACATGTTGAAATAGTTAGAAGTAGAAGTCCTTGCTTGGAGGGTTTAGAATGAGGTTTATCTCCAATGGAATCAAGTTACTCACATATACCTTTCCTTTACCCTCTTTCTTCCATATACTCATCTTCCTTAAACTTATGTCTCTGTTTAGATTTTGTATATATAGACACAACACAAATCATAAATTCTCATTAGACCCCACACTCTGAAACAATCTTCCAACCCAAATATCACATCTAATAGATGGGTCGTCATGATACATGCAACAAACTCATTTTCTTCTGCCTATCTATATTGTTACTTCACAACACATTGAAGAATGTTGACGCCTTGGCATGTAACTGGGGCACACAAGCGAGCCATCCTATCCCACCAAACATAGTAGTTAAGCTCCTCAGGGACAATGGGTTCAACAAGGTCAAACTATTCGAAGCTGACCCTGGCGCACTTAGAGCCCTTGGTAAATCCGGTATTCAAGTCATGGTTGGTATCCCCAACGATCTCCTCGCATCTATGGCATCCACTGTTACCAACGCCGAGCTTTGGGTTCAACAAAACGTCTCCCAATACATCTCCAAATACGGAACCGACATAAGGTATATAAAGACTTGACTTTCAAGTTAAAATCATGCTTAAAGTTTAATATTTCTAATTTGATTCAGATACGTAGCCGTGGGGAACGAGCCTTTCTTGAAAACCTACAAAGACCGGTTCGTCCGGTCAACATACCCAGCCCTACAGAACGTCCAAGCAGCCCTAGTGAAAGCCGGTCTCGGCCGACAAGTCAAAGTAACAGTACCTCTCAACGCAGACGTCTACGAATCCGGCGACGGTCTCCCTTCCTCCGGCGACTTCCGTTCCGACATCAAAACACTAATGGTCTCCATCGTCCGCTTCCTCGCCGACTCCGTCTCCCCCATCACTTTCAACATCTACCCTTTCCTCTCCCTCAACGCCGACCCGAACTTCCCCCGCGAATACGCCTTCTTCCCAGGCGGCGGCTCCGGCAACAACAACGGCGGAGGAGGAGGAGCCGGAGCTAAGCCTGTAGTCGACGGATCAATCTCTTACACCAACGTCTTCGACGCCAACTTCGACACTCTAGTCTCGGCGTTGGAGAAGAACGGCTTCGACGCGGAGAAGGTGGAGATCATCGTCGGAGAAGTCGGCTGGCCCACCGACGGCGACGTGAACGCGAACAAAGCGTTGGCGCAGAGGTTCAACCAAGGTTTGTTAAACCGTATCGTGCAAGGACAAGGGACGCCTCGCCGGAAAACGGCGCCGGAGGTTTACATATTCTCGTTGGTCGACGAGGACACGAAGAGCATCGATCCCGGGAAATTCGAACGGCACTGGGGAATATTCTCTTACGACGGAGCCGTTAAGTATCCGCTCAGTTTAGGTAACGGACGTCAGTTAGTTCCCGCGAAAGGTGTTCGTTACCAGGCACGTGAGTGGTGCGTGCTCAATCCTCAAGCGGCTGGGAATGGTGCCACGTGGACGTCGTCTGTTGATTACGCGTGTCAGTTAGCGGATTGTACTTCTCTTGGGCCTGGATCCTCTTGCGCGGGTCTGGATCCCGCAGCGAATGCTTCGTACGCGTTTAATATGTATTTTCAGAAGATGGATCATCGGAGGGGGTCATGTGTGTTTAATAATCTTGGGGTTGTTACTAAGGTTGATCCCTCGAGTGGCTCGTGTAGGTTTCCTATTGAGATTGATACGAGCAGGTATAATGAGACGTTGCGTCCACGGAAGAATTCTGGTGCCGGTGGAGGGATGTGGTGGAGGATGGTTGTGACGGCGGTGATGGTGGTTGTTTGGGCGGTGTTTTATTGATTGTTAAGGGATATTTCCGCTTGTAAATTTTTCTATAATTGTTTTTATTCTTTTTTTTTTCTTACATGCATATGTAAATAAGACATCCGATAATTTGGACATATCATTTATCTCAAAGCTGGTATGCATGTAATATACTATAGTATCTGTACATATTTTTTATATGAATTAACCAAGGGATTATATGAGATCAAAATTGATTAACGGAGTTAAGGAGATAATTAATGAAGGGTTAAATTAGTTTAGATTGCAAGTTGGGTCCATAGCTCAGTGGTAGAGCAATTGACTGCAGATCAATAGGTCACCGGTTCGAACCCGGTTGGGCCCTTGCCTTTTTTTTATTTATTAAGTTTTGCAGTAATTTACTTCATTAGAGCTTTAGTTAGATGATCGACTGGCTTTTAACTTCTTGTTGCTAATTTTCTCATTTCATGGTTTCAGCTGGCAACTTTTATCCGTGAACTTTTTTTTTAAAATGTATTTTATTTTGAACGTACTCTATTTTTATTAAGAATGAAATGATTTATTTCCTTTATGTTTTAGGATAGTCAAAGGTCCTTGCTCCATGGTGAATTTTCTCGGCAATTTAATCGTGACATGAACTTTTATTCTTAAAAAAATCTGATTAATGGGCCAAATGAGTTTTGGGTTTAAAAGCCCATACGAACAAGTTCCAATAAGAAAAGTTGACCCTGAGACTTGTTAGAGAAGCCTTTGCCTCAGCGTCTTGTATAAACCAGTATAAGTGAATTGTGGCGCTTCTTTCAATTCATTTCACATTTTCGCCATTTCCCTCCACTCACAAAAATCTCATTTCGCTCTCTCGCTTTCTCTGGTGTTACGACTCTGTTCTGATCGATAGCGATGACGACAATGGAGCAGCGTATAAACCAAAACACTGTCCAACAACAAGACGATGAAGAGACCCAGCACGGCCCTTTCCCCGTCGAACAGCTTCAGGTACCAATTCCTCCAGAAATTCACCTTCTCGGAGCATAATCTCGTGCCAATCGAAATGGGTTTAGCTTAAAATCACCAAAGATCTCTGCTTTTTTCGACCCTTTGTTCGTTCTCGCGATGATAGATAAGTGTAGAATCTAACAGAGAATTGGGCGAAATACTTTTAGGGTTTTTGTTTAATTCAGATAAAGCTAACACCTTTGAAGCATAATCTCTGTGGGTCTTGCGAGTTGTTTTAGTTTGTATCCATTAAATCAATGTTTTTTTTTTCATTCTATCTTTGATTCTTCAATCTTCAGGCGGCAGGTATAGCTTCTGTTGATGTGAAGAAGCTTAGGGATGCTGGTCTATGCACTGTTGAAGGTGTTGCATATACTCCAAGGAAAGATCTTTTGCAGATTAAAGGAATCAGTGATGCCAAGGTTGATAAAATAGTTGAAGCAGGCATGTTATTTGAAAACAAATTCACATTTCCTTTGATCCTTTTTAGAGTTTATGCATTTTCTTATTTGTGTGTATTTTTATCTCTGTGACAGCTTCGAAGCTGGTTCCTTTGGGTTTCACTAGTGCTACTCAGCTCCATGCTCAGAGACAGGAGATCATTCAGATTACCTCTGGATCACGGGAGCTCGACAAAGTTCTTGAAGGTTGGTTTTTGTTTTTTTTTTGTGCGTGTTGAAAGGTTGTTTTGTTGTTATGATCTTACTTTGTGTGTATTGTCAACAGGGGGAATTGAAACTGGATCCATCACTGAGTTATATGGTGAGTTCCGCTCTGGGAAGACTCAGTTGTGCCATACACTATGTGTAACTTGTCAAGTAAGAACCTTTTTTTTTTCTGAACATACCACTCAGCTAGTGTTGCTTATCTAGTAGGAACCAGTGAACTTGAAAAATTCTTTGTAGACTTTTGCAAAATTAAGAAACGTATTCACATTGAGGTTTGTGTTTAAATGATTAGCTTCCCATGGATCAAGGAGGTGGAGAGGGGAAGGCGATGTACATAGATGCCGAGGGAACATTCAGGCCACAAAGACTATTGCAGATAGCTGACAGGTATGCTATGTTTGTAACACAAGTGAGAACACGATGGGGTTCTTGAGACAGAACAATCCATAAGAAATCAACCAAAATGATGCAGGTTTGGACTAAACGGAGCCGATGTACTGGAAAACGTTGCTTATGCGAGGGCGTATAATACTGATCATCAGTCAAGACTCCTGCTTGAAGCAGCATCAATGATGGTTGAAACAAGGTGCGTTGAGTAAGAGTTTTCTTTTGGTGTTCAGTTCCATTGTGATTCATGATGAGAGTGCTAAGTGTGGAAGAGATACGATGTCACAGGTTTGCTCTCATGATTGTGGATAGTGCTACCGCTCTCTACAGGACAGATTTCTCTGGAAGGGGAGAGCTTTCGGCCCGACAAATGCATCTTGCAAAGTTCTTGAGAAGTCTTCAGAAATTAGCTGATGAGGTGATTATTGAGTAGTATATGTTGTTTTCCTTTTCAAAATTCCACTGAGACACTCCATTCTGAAACTTTCTCATACATGTTTAATGGCTCTAGTTTGGTGTGGCTGTGGTTATAACAAACCAAGTAGTTGCACAAGTAGATGGTTCTGCTCTTTTTGCTGGTCCACAGTTTAAACCGATTGGTGGGAATATCATGGCTCATGCCACCACAACAAGGTCTGCAAATTCTAATCCTATTTTTATCTTCTCGGGTTCATTGGCAAAAGTGTGTGTTTGTTTATGACGGTGGATCATATACAGGCTGGCATTGAGGAAAGGCAGAGCAGAGGAGAGGATCTGCAAAGTGATAAGCTCGCCATGCTTACCCGAAGCAGAAGCTAGATTTCAAATCTCAACAGAAGGTGTAACAGATTGCAAGGATTGATTGTTTTGCCCTTTTAGCAATGTTCTTCTTCACTTGTAATGTCAAGAACTCTGCTTTACTTTTGTTTCTCGTTACTCTGGATCAAGAACAGATTGCGTAAGCATAAAAAGTAGCGATGAAGGAGTAAAAGTTAAGCTTTGTAAGTAGGTGATCACGGTAATGAAAGTTGCTACCTGTTGTGTACCCAGCCAAGTGCATACGGAATAAAAAATATAGGTTTGTGACTGTTTCCTTTGTGTTTGACTAATCTTACTTCTTATAGCCTTCAGCATTGTGCAAGTAAACTCGGTCATGCGTGAATTTTCATAAGACAGTTTAGGTAATGCAGTTAGGTGTAGATCATCATAAGGCAAGCAGTATTGTCGGTGTTAAAAAAAAAAACCTTCTGTAGTCTCTAGACGGTGCACCATTCATACTACTAAGACTAGTATACCATGTTGTTTGTGCTTCTACTAATTGGATAAACATAACCAGTTGTAATAATTCTTAAAAAAAAAAAAAACTGATAATTAACCGAAAAAGAAGAGGTTATCTTAGCCATTCAGCCAACTCAGGCTCTCAAGTTTTGGATACTCTTTGAGAGTGTTCTCAGTGGCCTGGATCAAAATCTGTGAGCCACTCTCAAACCTTCACAATCTTCTTAAGAAAATATACAAATTGTACAAGTTAAAGGAAGCATTCAGAACTTTAAAAAAAAAAAATACTAAACGTCTATGATCAACAACGTTTTTATTTAGTATTAAGTTCATCTTCCTTCAACGAGGGTTCTTACATTATCTTATTCTACTAGATAAGGAAACACGCAAACACGGTAAGCCCAAAAAAGTTAAAACATAATAAAAAAGAAAGAGAGAGATAGCAACCGTTACACAGTCAAATGTTTTAAAGGGTCAGAAGAGAGTGTTTGCATGCCCTTTCTTTTACCGTCACTGATAATATATATATTTTTCGAATATCGTGTTGGCGTCAGCATTTTCCCTGATAAGCTAAACATGTTTTTGGTAACCTTCTTTATATATAAGTTTGCTGAAAATGAGTCATTACATTGATGATAATTGATTTATATATAGTTGAAAAAAAGGAAGAAGAAGAAGGGGGTAGAAAGTGCATAGCTATTCCATTAGTGTCCAGACAGCTGTAAGTATAAATCATTGTCACGGGAACATATTATTATTTCATTACAAAAAAATAAAAATAAAAATAGAAATGTGGTTTTCGTCGGCTCTTTGTTTCTCGATCCAATCTTCTCCTTCCTTCTCTCGACCGAAACAAAGCTGAATCATATCATCATCTCTCTACATCATCATAAACCCCTTTCTCTCTCTCTCTCCATCTCCTTCCTCCTTGTACACGTCTCGCTCCTTTCAAATTATTAATCAATTCTTCGTCTATTCTCTTAATTCTCCGAATCTTAGCTTCCTTCTTCGTTTGGTTTCAGCTTTACGAGCTGTGATCTCCTTGATCTGCCTCTGCTTTACCTATTCCCCCTCGACAAAGCTCGCATTTTTTTTTTCGATCTCCACAGCAGCAGAAGAATCTCAGTAGAGAATCTTTTGTTTTTCCGTCGGTTCTGTGAGATTTTCTTATAGATTGTTTGCTGATCTCTCGGGAGTAATTAGATTCGTGTTGTGAGTGAAAAATTACGTTAAAAAGAGCATCTTTTGATTTGGTTTTGCGTGTGAATTCGTGAATGCTCCGGCGAGAGAATCTTTGTACTGGAGGCTTTGGCTTAGATCTGTAAGTCAAAAAGGTCACTAACGTAATTAAGGGGATCAATCAGCTATGACCTCATCGCCATCAATGGAGAATGGAGGCGGCTCCTCCTCCTCCTCTTCTGGATCATCTGCTCTTCATGGCTGTATGCAAGAATTCAAGCTCTTCCAGACTCATTCGGTTAGTAAAAGCTTCCACCTTTTGATTCTATAGGATCATTGTAGCTGAGGTTCATTGACTGATGATATTTTTTGTTTTTTGTTTTTTCAGAATTTCTATATGATTGGTTGGAATGGTAGTGGAGTGTATAGAGTACTCAAGATAGACAGGCTTGATGCGTCTGAGCTTAATGTCAGTGAGGATCCCACTGCGTATACTAAGAAAGAATGTTACGAGTTGCTTAAACGGATACACGAAGGAAACAAGGCCACAGGGGGGCTGAAACGTGTTGCTGTTTGTTATGGTATCATTGGTATGTGTGTCGCAAGTTATGTTTACAGGAGAGTAGAATGGTTTTTACTTTTACAGCTTGTTCTCATGATTTGTTTTGTTTTGTGTGGTCGCAGGGTTCATTAAGTTTTTGGGACCATACTATATGCTGGTTATAACTGAAAGGAGAGAGATTGGTGAGATTTGTGGTCACCGGGTCTATGAAGTGTCAAAGAGTGAGATGATTTCATTGCAGCATTCTAATGTGCTTGGCAACATTGTTAATTCAAGAGACGAGAACAGGTATTTTTTGATATATCTTTTACTCCATTTTTCCCTTTGTTTGTTTGTTGCAAGCTCATTGTTGTGTTTTCCTTTCGGGTAGATGAAAAGAGAGAGTGCATGTGTTTAGTTATTATACTCGTCTACCTTTTTTTATGAACTGAAGTCATTTAATCCTTGTGTTTCCCACTTGTTGTTAAACAGGTACAAGAGGCTCCTGTCTATGGTGGACCTTACGAAAGATTTCTTTTTCAGCTATTCATATAGTATAATGCGAAGTTTCCAGAAGAATATATGCGACCATGAGAGTGGTGGTACTCTCTATAAGAAGATGTTTGTGTGGAACGAGTTCTTGACTCGGGGAATTCGACATCATCTTCGGAATACCGTGTGGACTGTAGCACTGGTTTATGGTTTCTTTAAGCAGGTAAGAACTGTGTGTTTTCCTGCACCTCACTACTAGAGAAAATAGTTTTTTCGAATCAAATACAAGTATTCTATTCTCAATTACCTTGGTAGTTTACAGTACTGTTTAGATTCATGGTTGCTGAACTTGAATTTTTGTGCATGTAGACAACTCTTTCTGAAGCTGGACGGAATTTCAAACTCACTCTTATTGCTAGGCGTTCCCGCCATAATGCTGGAACCAGGTATCAGATTTCGTCGCTCCCTAGCTTTCTGCTCTGTGCTCTAACATGACTGTTATTTACTCGCTATGTATTCTAAACTATAGTGATAACTTGAAACCATTTCAAATAAAGCCCAGATTGATAGTCACATTAGAATACATGCGCAAGCACTGTTCAATATTTGTCCATCTCTTGGGTTCTTTCCAACATGCTGAGATTTACAGTATACATATTTACTTGAGGTAGTTATTATTACCCTTCTTTTTTTTCCTCAACGTCTTCTGATTTTTAGGTACTTGAAACGAGGAATAAACGAAAGTGGCAATGTCGCTAATGATGTCGAAACAGAGCAGATAGTGTCTGAGGACGTTCCTGAAGACAACCCCATGCAAATAAGTTCTGTTGTGCAGAACCGTGGCTCAATCCCTCTGTTCTGGTCACAGGAAACCTCACGGATGATTCTTAAGCCGGATATTGTATGTGAGTATTTTCATACTAATTATACTGCCTTGTCCCTTCTCTCTCTCTCTCCCCCGTGTGTTTGAATACCTCAATGTCAAATGCAGTGTCAAAAAGGGACCTGAACTATGAGGCAACTAGACTTCACTTTGAAAACCTTGTGGAGCGATATGGAATCCCCATCATTATTCTGAACTTGATCAAGGTGAGTTGTTTGATCTAGCTTGTTTGCACGTTCTTATCATCTTTCATGCCTTACGCATTTCAGATTAAGTACTTTTTGTATTGGCAAGTAATGCGTCTTCTTGCACCTTAATCTAGATAAAATATTAATGAAAGGAACTATTGTGTGTGCATTATCATTTTGATACTTTCATACCTCAAACATTTTACTGATTTTGCCTGTTGCTCTTGACAATTAATAGACAAAAGAGAGGAGACCCAGGGAGTCGATTCTCCGGGCAGAGTTTGCCAATGCAATTGACTTTATAAACAAAGATCTGCCGGAAGAAAATCGTATAAGATTCCTCCACTGGGACTTGCACAAACATTTCCAAAGGTATACTTTAAATTTGCATGACAGCTGATTCAAATTATGAGTAATTTTACATAAATTTTCTCTTTTTTTTTTTTTTTTTTGTCTTCATTTCAGCAAAACAGCAAATGTCTTGGCACTTCTTGGCAAAGTGGCTGCATGTGCTTTGATGCTAACAGGTTTCTTTTATTATCAAGTTACCCCAGCAATGAAGCTCGATGGTGGTATGAGCTTGTCTTCTTCTGAGTAAGTGTTCTTACTTGAGCTCTTGTAACTAACGTGTTCATAATGTCCCGACTTATATTTATAATTCGTCGTCGATTTGAAGATGAACCTTGTCAAATCTGGTAACTTGTTAACGTTCATCAACTATCCGTAGTTTGTGTTACTATCTGAAATCGGTGATAGCATCAACCTATAACTTTCTGGAAAATGATGTCTTTAAGATAATTGGAAAGGTTGTTTTTCATACAGATATATACTAACTCTTTCAGTACTTATACCTTTATATTGCAGTGCCGAGATGTCTACACATAATAGTTCTGATGATGATAGTGGGGAATATGATTCCCTAGAGAAGAATTTTCCCTCATGTAAGAATGTTGCTAATGGCGATGATGATATCAAGCCTGGCAGGCTTCAGAGGGGAGTACTAAGGACTAATTGCATAGATTGCCTTGATCGTACAAATGTTGCCCAATATGCATATGGTTGGGCTGCTCTAGGGCAGCAGCTCTATGCTCTGGGAATTAGAGATGCTCCAACGATAGAACTTGATGATCGTTTGTCTAGTGCTTTAATGGGGTTATATGAGAGAATGGGAGATACACTGGCTTATCAGTATGGTGGATCTGCTGCCCACAATAAGGTAATTTCTTTCTTCTCTTTTTATGTCTTGGTTTAACGTGTTTTATATATGGAACTGTCTTATATGAAGTCTTCTGCTAGAGACAGTTGACACTAAATGCTGGACTGTTTATTATGATTTATGGACAAAGTTTATCCTATTTAGCCTCACTTGAGAATTGTTTATGACTTGCTTCATGAGATGAATTGCATCCCTTTTCTTGTCAACAATTTTGATTGTTCACACTTCACAATTAAAATAACATGCATTGCCTTTGTTTGTATAAACAGTTTGAAGCTCATGACTTTCTAAACCTCATTTGTATAACAGAAAAATCCTCCTTACATGCTGATCAGTCATCTCTTATATTTGAGCCTAAGTGTAACTGACACTTTTCAGCGGACATGATTATTATTCTTAGGTTAGAATTCAGCATGTACATGACTGGTAATATGTAATGGAAATTTTTTTCTTGGACCATTTACTAGTTATCATTTGTGATGATATTGGTCTAAAGAATTAATGAATCTGGTCTATTTTCTGTTCTTGATCTTTGATATCCAATACAGTTTTAGGTAAATTATTTTTTACGTCATCGATGTTATATCTCATGACAATTGGGCCGTTATTATTCGTGAAAGGTTATCGGACTTTAGACTAGTGTTAAAATTCAGTTTGTAATCTCTAGTTGGTATGCACTGAATAATGATGATCGGTTCTTCTGCAGCCGACTCAAGTTAAAATTATGGTCACTATTGTTTGGATACACATTTTTGATTCCTAGAATTTCTGGCGTGCAATAGGTTTTCAGCGAGAGGAGAGGCCAGTGGAGAGCAGCAACCCAGTCACAAGAGTTCTTGAGGACTCTGCAACGTTATTATAATAATGCATATATGGATGTGGATAAACAAGATGCAATTAATATGTACGCTGCTCCGTGCCACTCTTTATCATATATACATGTTACGCAATGATCTCTGAAGAGTCTTACAGATATTTGTTGGGTTCTGTGACTTCTTATATGCAGATTTCTTGGCACGTTCCAGCCTGAAAAAGGGAAGCAAGCGATTTGGGAGTTGCGTTCAGATTCCCGCTCTAATGGACAAAATGGAGAGATAAGCATAGGGGAAGATGAAAGGTAGGTCTCTGTGACTGCAACCATGTATGTAGGTAGATGCGTATAGAACTTGATGTTCATACTATATCGATTGTAGGAGTTATACGAGTTCTGATAGACCTACTTGCAATGCATTTTACATCGAAATAAATAGGCTCTACATCTTTTAGCATTATCCCTTTCTGGATTGGCAATCTCCACCGTAACGTCCAGTTTTCCATCCTATGAAACTTTTGTGACTAACCATCTATGATCATAGCCCTTTCTGGATTGACTGTGTTTCGTTACATCTATGATCATAGCTCTTAATACTATGTTTTCCAGGTTTCTTGTGAAGAGGTGCTTATCAGATGGTAATATTCTCCATGAAAGTCGCACACCGATGTCCGCAATGAGTAGCAAGCATGAAAGCATATCACATAAAGGCTTCATGTCACCACGCCAAATGAATCATGTAACTTCAGAGTCATCACCAGATATGCCAGCTGCTGGTGATGTATCATTATCGAGGTTTGTTTAAAGTCTTTCTTACATTTCTTCTGTTTTTTGCTAAATAAAATATGTACGGCGTTAGAATTTTGCTTGGTGCGGCTCCATTGTGCATGTTAATTCCGTCCATATTATCTCATTTATTTTTTGAAGTGGTTGTCTTTCTGCTTCATGTAGCCAAAGAATTTGTGTGGTAGTATATAGTAACACTTGTCTCTCTTGTTGGTCTAAATCTTCATCTCTAATATCTTTTGTAGGTGTACTCCATCAATGCCTAGCACACATTTTTTTGGAGATGCGAAGAAGATTCAACATAATGGTAGTAGCTCCTATTACTTGTCCGAGCAGGAAGACATGTCTAGTGTCTCAAATTTTGTTGATGTTGAGTGGCTTTCGTCATCAGAAAATCTATGCGATAACGATCAGTCGTACAGGTAAAAGTACTGTGTATGTAAATTAATTGATGTACTACGTTTTTAAGCAGTCGATGGAGAAACCAGATCACGTATAACTAGAAGCTTAAAGTTTTCTCTATCTATAGCATCATATTGACCATCTTTTTATAAGTCTAGCTGGTTATGTTTCTTCCAAAATAACTATAAAAGCCTATTTCTTATAGATGATCAACACACTTTTGAATATACATTGCTCTTTTGGTAGGCCGTCAGCGCTCACAAGCTATTCAACCGCGGAAGTGTCATCATCAGAGAATATCATCAGTGAGGTGACACAGTCAATGCCAGCTATGAGCGAGAATGGATCAAGCAGCAGGAAGGTCAGTATTTTCCAAATTATGCTTCGCCCTATCTAGTTTTATGCAGTGCGAGTTGGTGTCACTTGATTCTGAGTTCTAACTCGTCTTTTATGATATCTTCTCTGAAACTTGGATGAACCGTTGACTAAAATTAGAATAACACCTTAGTTGTAAACCAACTCAGACGGAAGCAGAACTTGACTCTTTTTCTTTTAGATTTATCAAAAATAACCGGTCACAAATAGATGGTTTTGCTGACTCTTTTTTTTTACAATGTTTATATCCCTCAGCTTAAAACTTCAGAATTAATATTAAATGGCTAGAGTCTGACCAATCTGTATTAGTTTATATAAGAATTTGTCTGGTGAAACTTATCTCAGCAGGGTGGTTTACATACCACGTATCACACTAGCTCTCGGATTATTTGATTGTTTTGAGAATATGTATTGTCATTAGGTTTACTCGCTTGAAACCTAACCGGATTTATATCCTTTGGCAGGGAAAAGAACCAATGGGAACCGAACCGTCTACAAAGATTCACGATGATTTTACTGATAGCTTCAAACAATGGGTAGCATACGGAGAAGCACTATGCCATTGAAGCTCTTTCAACTTTCCATTTCCAACAAGAACCATAGTAATGGTCTCATGGAGATATTTGGGTATTACGGTGCAAACATGGAGAAGGGACTTGGTAGAGAAATTCACAGTACCACATATTTGAACTTCACGGTGATGACCAAACGAGGTATTATTATACATTATAAAGAGGAGCTAATAAAAAATAGCTGAGAGGTTTGAGTTTAGGGGAATTTCCATCTTTGTGGAGAGAAACTTATGGTAATCTGAGACTTCTGTTAGGATATTTTATTGGTTCTGGTTTGTAGACTACTGTAAATATATGTTTGGTTTATTGATCCATCATGTAACTTCTTTTCTATGGGTAAAAAGTCATTTCTTCAACCACCTGCTGAGCCTGCAATTCTTAGAGCTAATCTTCGTACTGTTTAGAGGATCTTTCGGAGCTCGTACTTTTGGTTTTAGATCTTTCATAATTGTCGAAGATCTTTCAGAGCGTGTCCTTCTGGTTAGATCAAAGTTACAAACTGTTAGATAATCGTTCAGGGATCCACACAATCCTCACATTGCCCAACTCAACCTACTGCTGTTCCAACAGAGTGAATCAGACCAGATGTTTCTCCTGTGAATATCATATAGTATTGTTTGATGTGAGTGATGGCTCATAACGTTATTTTATTATAATTTTCATCGTTCCTCAAGACCCACTGCTATTTATAACAATAATACAAACACATGGCTTTTGTAAATTTTGTATTTGTTCTACATCTATTATGAGTTAAGCTCAGTATTTTTCTTTTATTTTTCCTGATTTAAGAATGGCTAGTTTTTACTAACTCGATATAATTGACTACAAAATATATAACACGGATCGTTGTTACTTTTTGCTTTGGTAATTGACCATGGCAATATATCAATTCTTGAAATTTTACTCACTAGATTTTAGGTGCTTCAGAAAATTATTGTAGAGACTAAATAAATGGCTGTGCGTATATGTCAAATAGTTTAGCCTACAGAGTTTGTCTTTAGCTTCAAAGTTCCACTTAAAACGCATATTTTAAGTATCGTTTTATATAAATCACGTCTTAATCCAAGGAAAAGTTTCCAACTATGGCTTCAATTGGTGATGATGAAAATGAACAAAATGAAAAGAAAAAAATTGAACATATTTTCATTTAAAGAATTGAATTGAAAAAAAAGTTCAACATTTAGGAACAAACGTTCCTCATCAGTTTTAGTAGAGGAAAATACTCCTTCGTTAATTCCTCTAATTATGAGGAACATAGAGGAATGTGGTGGGGTCCATANAGGAACAAACGTTCCTCATCAGTTTTAGTAGAGGAAAATACTCCTTCGTTAATTCCTCTAATTATGAGGAACATAGAGGAATGTGGTGGGGTCCATAAAAATTAGTTTGACAAAAAAATCAACTTAATTGGTATCAATTTTGAGGAATAACAAATTCATCATGTTTTTCCCCATAAAAGATGGTCACCAATTGAAGCCTATATCAGGTAAAGAGTATATAAGAATATGCTATAAAGATTCTCATATAGGTTCTATAAATAGCTAGAACATTCAATCATATCGTAAAACACAGAGAATCTGACATGTAGATTTGTCTATGTAGGAATATAATTTTTTTCGAGATGTTATCATATGCATATCTTAATGTCTTTGAATGAACAGAAAAAATACAACCCTATTTAAGAAACTGCGACGTGTGATAGATATCCATAATAGCATTTGGTTTGTTAAAGAAAATGATGGATGGTCGAATATAGCAAAAACGAATTATTGTTTGGTGTTGCTTGCTTCAGTCTTCTATCAATTATCGAAGAAGATGGAACTTCAATTCCAAAATATTAGGCAAACCTAATGGAAATCATGTCATATTTGACATCTACCTTCTTTCTTTTTTTTTGTTAAAGTTTGACATTTACCGAAATAACAAAAAAGAAAAAGAAATCATCTTTTAGAAAGAAAACGTTACTCTATTCATATATTTCCAGTTATCATGTACCGCCAAGATGGACAATTTATAAAGAACGATGTTCTGTTCATATTTATATTACTAGGTGATTTTCCCGTGCTCATGCACGGGTATGAATATTCATAAAAGTAAAATTTTATAATAATTGACTGATATTTAGTTTTAGTTTTGAATAAATTTATATGTATAATTTATATTAATAAATATTATTATTCTAACTATACATATGATTTTGGATATATTATTGTCGGTTTAATTATTTTTTGGATCAATAGTCAGTTGGGTTATCAATTTGGTATATTGGATAATATGTATTTCTCGAATTCAGCTATAATATTTTTTTATTCTAAATATAATAAAACTTTGATCAAGTTTTTTATTTTCATTTCGGTTGGTTATTGTCTTAGATATGTAAATATATTATAGTTATATTATGTATAACTTAATATATATTGTGCTTTAAATGAAATAAATAATAAGCTGAAGTGTTTGATTCAAAATTACATAAATAAATATATGATAATATTTTGAAGTCTCATGCATATATAAAAATTCTACAAATGAATTAAATTGTAATTGGTTAATATTTTCTTTTTTCTTTTTAATATGCATTGAGTCAACCTCTAATTTATATGTATAAAATTAAATAGATTATTCTTATTATTATTATTATAAAATTGTATGTTCTTATTGTAGTTAGATGTTTAATTTGGACATAAATTAGATTAGTCGAGTCATTCATTTTATGAGTATATTGAGTTAAATATATTTTTAAATTACAATTGAAGTATAATTACTTTTTATTTTAGCTAAGTCAAATCAAATTAGCTTTATTTATCACCTAAATATACATGTATTTTCCTAATATTTATTTACTCTTTATTTTCATTAAGTCAAATCAAATTAGTTTTATTTATTGATTAAATATACATGTATTTTCATAATATTTTATCAAATTACATGTTGATTTCTAAAAAATATTAGAAAATAAAGTGTAATTGATAAATTTTTGAATGTTCATGAACAGATATATTTTTATTATTTTGAAAATATATTTTATGTTATTTAAAAATATATATTAATGGGAGTATTACTATTTTGTGAACTTTCCTTTTTAATAAAGTCATATTATATACCTATATTTTCGTTTTTAATTTTGTTTTAAAATTTTAGAAATCTTTCTTTTTTATTTTATATGTTATTTGGAAAAAAAGGTAAAAAGAAAACTAAATAAAAAATTAATAATAATCTTAAAATCTAATAATTCATTAAGGGTATCTATGTAATCAAACATAGCGAGAGTTAATGTGAGCGCGACACGTAGGAAACTGACTTCTCAAATAATATTATAGAGATTAAACTATTTCTAGTGTAACTCTATTTTTTCTACATTTTATTTTAAAATAGAGTTGAAGTGGAGATACTTTTAGTAACACTTCTTAGTAACACTAACAAACTAACCTCTCGTACTTACACATAAATTTAATTGACATGCATTTTATGTACGCGATTAAATGGTAGTTTTGACAAATAGTTTCTTCAAGTAACAATAACGACAATATTTAACAAAAACTTAAATAACTGAACTTTTCTTCTAATAACGCATTATGTTTCTAGTTTTTCTATAAACCTTTGGATTTTGTTGAATAGGAAAGGCAAAAAAAAAGAAAAAAAAGTTTAGGGCCATAAATCTATTGATTTGTGCAATTTCACAGACCCCCACAAAACATAATGATTGTACTTTATTTTTAGAGCTAGGTGGAAACTCTATTGCTAATTGGTTATTAGGTAAAAGGCAAAGAGCTAATGGCGATGAAATTATGATTCATTAGCAACCATGATTTTCCAAGAAAAGGTAGCATACCGCTATATAACCAATTAACCATCATTTCAAGTAATGGTAGCCTAAGGTTGATTTGGGATAATTCTGAGTTAGATTTTCAAAAGGAACAAAACTGATGCTAATAGGATTTATCTGAAAATTTAGGTCCAGATTTTTTTTCGTTAGTAATTATTTAAGTTTTGGTTCAGATACTTCCGATCAATAAAAATACATTATAGGAATGTGTTGTTATTATTTTTTTGAACACAAATGAATGTGTTAAAAATGTAATATATTGAAAGAACTGATGTCTCGCATTAGTATATATCTAACCTACCGCACTTACTCTATATTATTTGCACAATTATTTAACTTTTTCTTTTGTCAACAACCATCTATACTATTAAACTAAAGTGCCTAATTACGTAACTTTCTCAAGAAATAAACAAGCCCAATAGTCAATACCACTTACCTCAAACACCCAAAACCATCCCACACCCACAGAAGCAAATAACAGCGGACTGTGTGTTAGTAGACCAGATACTAGTCTTTACGTACGACATTGAATTAATCAAATATTGAATAAAAATATGTTTTCCTATACGTTATTTTTACTTCAACCTAATACTATTTTCTTGTTTAAAATAGTGATTACTATATTTTCCTCTATATTTAAAAGAAGAATTAGCTATCTATTTCACTTCATATTAGAACAATTTTATTATTAAAAAAGTTATTTTGAAAAAAGCAAACTATAATAGAATCTCTATAAATTAATATTCGATAAATTAATATATATTAAATATCTCTATAAAATAATATAATTTTATAGTTTTAAATTGAGTTTTGGTTTGATTAGTGTATCGATAAATTAATATCTCTAAAAATTAATAAAAACAAAATTTTGGTGTAATTTTAACATTATTAATTTATATTAGAAACAATGGTAATGCTGCAATCTTATTACAAATGGTAATGCAAATATACTATTATTTTTAAAACCGGAAGTCGGTGGAAGCAACATCACAATCAAGTAATCAACGTTGGCCTTATCCAGACTCCATCTCCTGTTTTGTTGGTGTAGCTCACAGGTTCGCGAATACCCTCACTCCGCGTGTTGCTCTCGTCTTTCTCGACACATGGGTGGTAGACTGGTAGTTGATACATGAAGTAAACATATAATATAGACCACAAAACCATCTACAATTTTCTAATTTATTAAAATGCTTCCATCAGAACAAAACATTTCCAATTTAAAACCAATAATAACTTAGCCAATGGTTGACCCAAAAAAATCAGCCAATGGTTTCGACCCAACAAAACAAATTGTAGCAAATGGATGTCAAACCATTAACGGTTTTATATTGAAAACCATTTGCACGTTTTTTTTTTTGCACATTTCACAAAACTATATCAAACCGTCAACTGTAACTGGATGGTAGGGATGGTGATGATGAAAATGATCAAGGAAATGGATTGTAATGTCACGTGGATTCTGTAGACTAGTGAGTATAATAGTTAAATGATGGGGCAGTATAAACAATATAGCTGAATATTTTTTCACCAAATAAAGTTCATATAACAGTAGGTGGTAGTTATATTCTTAATATATCTATAAGCACTACATGAGTCATTTTTAACAACACATGCTAACGTAAAAATCTGATAAATAATGTGAATAGTAAATAAGTTAGGAAATCTTTCTGTTACCTAATGTCTCATTCATCATGTAAGTTTCAAACTTAGATCATAAGTTTTTTTTTTTTTCATCAATATTTCTTGTGATTATTCATCGACAAGGTAAATATTACTTCTCATTGAATGTTTATTAGCACGTCCTAATATGTATTAGGTACATGTACTTTGGTCAATATTAACATGTGAAATAACAAAAGAGCACACTTACAATTGTTAGGACCAAAAGTCTTTGTACGCCTAATACATATCAGTCCAGCGTGGTTTCGTAAGACCTGCTGAATATTTTCAGGCATCATTCATTTGTGCAAAA